TGATTTGTTCAATTATGCTTCAGTTTGACATAAATATTTGAACCTATACTTCAGATGGAGCTAGAGACAACTGCATTCTGTGTCTGTATGTATGATGGAGGAAGGGCTACCCCGAGCAGTAAATGTACTAAGTAGATATTAGTTCACTTATCCCACTCACCACTGCTGCTTTTCTGGCTTATCTTGTTTCTTCCTCTCATATATCACCATCAATCTCCAGTTAAAAACAGAGAAAGATAAAAATAAGTAAATAAATAAATAAATAAATAGAATTCTTTTAGGGCTGACATTATAAATGTTGGTCTTACTCTGCCCTCTAGTGGTCATCTACAAAACTTACAAGTGCAAAAAGGGTGTGTGTGTGTGTGTTTTTTTTAGACCATCTCGTCTATCTGTCCCACAGTCTTTGGGTTAATTAGGATGATGCAAAGGCCTCAGTGTGTTTTAATGTGTAGAATAAATTATATCAGAGAAATAAGGTGGACTTAAGCAGATTTAGGTTTTCAGAGGCGAAATGGATGCTGTAATCACATTTTGCTATGTAATAAACAAATTATGAGCAAAACATACAACAAAAGAATTTACTTCAACAGCACAACAGTTATTTTATGTTATGGCTTTTAAAATAGAAAAGTTACAGCACCCATGAGGCCAATATTTAAGAAATTCTATTTTGCTATTATTACATTCAAGGTAAAATAGAATACTTTATTGTTCCCACAGCGGGGAAATTTGTTACACTTAGAGAAAAGGAAGAAGATAAATAATAACTAAAGTACAAGTAAATAAATAAATACACAAAGGCAGTAAGCTATTATTGTAACCAATAGTATTGTGAGATGAAAGCTAAATTTTATTTTTGGCCATCATTCTACACACAATGTTTGGAGGAGAAGTGGCATTGCCCACCACCCTAAAAACACCACACCAACAGTTAAGTTAGGGGGTGGAAGCATCATGGTGTGGGGCAGCTTTTCAGCAAGGGTACTGACAGATCACATTACTGAAGGCAGGATGAATGGAAAAATGTACCAATACATCCTGCAAATCTGCTGCCATATACCAGAAAGCAGAAAATGAATAGAGGATGGACATTTCAGCAAGACAATAGGTGTGTTTCTTCCTGCTTGTCTCACAAAACTCAGCGCTGCTCTTGTCTTCTGAAGGGATTAAATTAAGATATACTTCTATAAAATAAATGCTTTAATAATATTAATGTTGCTTTGGGCACTTTTTGGGGTGGGCTGCACAGTGGCGCAGTGGTTAGAGCTGTTGCTTTGCAGCAAGAAGGTCCTGGTTTCGCTTCCTGGCCTGGGATCATTCTGCATGGAGTTTGCATGTTCTCCCTGTGCATGTGTGGGTTCTCTCCGGGTACTCCGGCTTCCTCCCACAGTCCAAAAAACGTGACTGTTAGGTTAACTGGTCTGTCGAAATTGTCCTTAGGTGTGAGTGTGTGTGCATGATTGTTTGTCCTGTGTGTCTCTGTGTTGCCCTGTGATGGACTGGCTCTCTGTCCAGGGTGTACCCTGCCTGATTGCCCGTTGACAGCTCAGAGGATTGGGACATCCTACTGTACCTCCTGGTCAAGTTCCCCAACCCTGGAGTTCTGGTAATGGAAACATGCCTAATGATCCAAAACACAAGGCCAAGGAAATTTGTTTCAAAGAAAGAAAATCAAGTTGCTTGAATGGCCCAGTCAATCACATGACCTACATCCCACAGAAAATCTACAAAGAGAACTGAAGGTCAAAGGTCACAGAGGCCCAAGTACCTTCAAGATTGTGTTTGTATGGACGAATGAGGTAGAATCACTCCTGAACAATGCAGACGACTGATCTCTGCATACAAGAGGTGTCTAATCAATATGACTCACATTCAATAGAGGCTAACAACTCATCAATGGGTATGGAGGAGGGGTATTCATAGGTGGTTTCTGCTCATTAAATAACAATAGACATCTACAGCTTATAAACTTGACTCCCAGCCAGAATTAACAAAGCTCCTCAAATGAGAAGCGAATGCCTTCAAGAAACCAAAGTCACGTTGCCTTCATTCAAACCCTTTTGGAATACCATGACCTAATGATTGAGAACCTTCAACAGCACACAAGCTGTAATTACCAGCATGTTATGGTTTTAACCCTACTTAATGCACATGATTTCAATCAGCAGGTGATTAACAGGCTTCTACAGAGCCTGATGAGCTGCTGCACAGGCGATTCAACCAGTGAATCTAGTGTGTTGGACTGAGAAACCATTGAAACGTGCTGGATACCGGCCCTCAAGGCCTGGAATTGAATAGCCCTGTCATAGGAAGTCGTCTGCTGCTGGAGGACAAGCTTGTATACCTTTCATCAGATCAGCCCCAATGCAACTAAATCTCCTCTCCATAGCAGTTAAATGGCAAAAAGGGTGAGGGTCTATATTTGTACAGCACCTTCATAGGGTTCTACAACCCCCTCCCCCCAAGGCACTTCACAACGCAGTCATCCACCCATTCACACACACATTCACATCCCAGTGGCGATAAGTTACTTTGTAGCCACAGTTGCCCTGGGGCACACTGACAGAGGTGAGGCCAGCCATAAACCAGCAGCACCGGCCCTCCGACCACCACCAGCAGTCAAGGCAGGTTAGGTATCTTGCCTGAGGACACAACAGCAGCATTCTCTGGTGGGAGCCGGGATTGAACCTGCAACCATTTGATTACTGGACAACCTCCTGAACTACTGCTGTTGTCATTATTCAGAAAGACCAAATCAGAAGGGTTTTATTGCCATATGTGCTCACAGAAACTGCTGTGGTACAGACAGACAGCTTAGTGGCCTAGTGGTAGAGTGTCCGCCCTGAGACTGGGAGATCAGGGGTCGATTTCGGGTCAGGTCATAACAAAGACTGAAAAAATGGGACCCAATGCCTCCCTGCTTGACACTCAGCATTAAGGGGTTGGATTGGGGGGTTAAACCACCAAATGATTCCCGAGCACGGCTGTGTCTGCAGCTCACCGCTCCCCCAGGGGATGGGTCAAATGCGGAGAACAAATTTCGCACACACACCTGTGTGTGTGCCAACTAATGGGACTTTAACTTTAGACAGACAGACACTAGATAAAGATGTAAGTTGAAAGCCGGCCCCCATGAAGAAATGCGTCACCCCTCTCCCATGAGCTTTTGCAGCTGGGTCTTTTCTTGGCTCACACATGACAAACCCGTGTGTTTGATAATGTCACACGGGGACAGAGAGAGTGCATTACCACATGGGAACCAAAGCTGCAGGGCATGAACATTTTAGATAAAACTGAAGCGTAACAGGAACTATGCTGCATGTTCAGAAACACACACAGAGTAGCTGAGATTGTTTATTAGTCTCAGGGATTCAAATGGTGCAAAATACAACGAAGAGAAGCAGACAAATTATGGAAAAAAAGATAAAAAGATGGAACAACTCCTGATGGATTTGTTCCTTGTTTGACATCTAACAGTCCTTTAAAATCACATTTGTAGGTTTCTTCAGCTTTTCCCTGCACCTTTCACATACAGGCAGTCAAGACTGTCTAGTAATCTATTAAAATGCTCTAACTTTAAACGCCATCTGGATTCTGGATTTCTGAGTCTTGACTTTACCTTTTTTTAGAATTAGCCTGCTTTTTAGATACCTTTAGTGTAGGATCTCTAAGAGTGTCTGACTTACATTCAGTTTTTTAGATTGTTTAGTACTGCATAGGACCACATCTACTGTTAACTCTGCTTTTTCTATATTGTTTTATTTTTGTGTAGGAAAACCCAACCAGGGACAGCAGCTGTAAATTAGCATTAGCTATAAACTCTGAATGCGTCGCGTCAGCTACTTGTTGCACTATGCTGGACAGAAATGTCCTGCCAAAGATGAATTCAATATCTGTTAGAAGCTGCTTGTCTCTGACTAAAGACTCGTTCTATAAAAAACACTGAGGAAACTAGTGATGAGATCAGATTGCACACATGCTGTCTGAACTATTAAAACGTAAAAGGATTCTGATGAAATCTTCCAGCTGCTATTGCTCAACTCCTTACAAAAACAGAAATGAGAGAATTAAAAACTTGCATGACTCAAGTCTCCAACACCTGGAACTCAGAGGCAGCTTCAATAAAGACGCAACAGAATAAAGAATCAACATGGATTAGATGAAGGACTACGCAGCTCAGATCTTTGATGGATTTTTCATTTTTTCTTTAAAAACAACATTCTGTACTTGATCATTTTAGCTGCAATTTTCCCCTTTCTTCAGTTTATTTATTTAGTTTTTTTTACTTGCTGCACAATATGCAAACATGCTCAGGCACCAGACATAAACAGGGAATGTGAGGAAAAGCCACCAAGGTTTAAGGAAAAACTTGATCCAGACGACTAAAGATTACAAGATAATCTGGCTGCATGGAATTAGAATATAAATAAATAAGAAATGGTTTTAAACTTCTTCTCAGGGCTGCAAATAAAACCTGATCTCTGTTGTAAAACCTACACAGACGGAATAATTCATACTTGTTTAAAACTATTAAGTTGTTTGGCCCAAGCGGCCGAGGAGAAGGAAGCTTGGGCCTCCCTGCTTAGGCTGCTGCACCCACAACCCCACCCCGGATAAGCGGCTAAAAATGGATGGATGGAAGTTATTTGTTACCTACAGACTAAAGTCAGCTCAAAACAAGCACTATTACACTGTAAAAAAATTTTGACCTTTTGCCAAAAATCACATCAGGCCTAAGAGTTGGTGCCAAATTCAGCTCCCTCTGCTGTCAAAATAAATAAAACCGCAGAAAAGTTACCACTGGCTCACGGGCGGGTTTAAACTAAAGGATTCTGGGGATTTTAAAGACAGGGAGTGAACTGCATCTCGATGAGGTTTTTCAGCGTTTGCCTTCATGTAAAGATTTCATGAGCTGCACATAAAAAAATGACATTTCCATTTAAGTGTCTCTGCTGCAACTAAAAAAGAAAAAGAAGGAACGATCGGACAAGACTGGATGACTGAAGACAATGAGCAACTAAACATTTATTTTTAAATAAGGACATGTTCTGAGATCTCAACTTCAGGTTAAAGTTCACTTTTATTTAAATAACCTCAATAAATCAGCTACTTCTCTCGTTTTCTAATAATCCAACATGTTACATGATAAAACTCTTCTTTCTTTAAGCTGCAACACTTGTGTTTCTATGTTTTCTGTACAGGACGGATGGTCTTTAACAGCCCTACAGACAATCATTCAGGATAACGTGCTTAATGATGTATCTGCAGCTCTCACTGGGATTCCTGCACAGATATCCAGCAGATATGGAGCGGTTGTGTTTCAGTCCCGTCCTAGATGAAGTCAGATCCTCTGAAATCAGCTTTCCTTCATAATCGCTCAGTTCTGAGCTGCACATTTACAACTTTAGTTTAATGAACAAGTGTTTAAAGAAACAGATTCAGCTAGAAATGACTTTAAACATTTATTAAAATAGTTGAAGCACTTTGTGTTGATGTCCAAAATAACATTTACCTACAAGAACTTTATTTTTTACAAACACACTAGAGGGAATGAATATTTCCCGTGTCTTTTTGTGTGGGAAGATGCCAAAAATTGGTGGAAAGGCAAGCTGGAAGTGGCAGGAGAACTTTTCACTGAACATTGTCTCTTTTGCTTTAATGCTAGAGCTCCCCGCCACATCCATCCATGTGTTCGTCCACCCAAACGTGCAACAAGTCAAATGAATCTGTAGGAGAGCGGAACAGATCCTGCTGTTAGTCCTTTAAGGTGGAACTGTCGTCCACATCCAAAAAGTTAGAGTCCACTTCTCTGAGTGTTCATCACTCTGATCTGTACAATCTCTAAAAGATGAAGGCCACGGAGAATTCAGAGTCCCTCCATCCAACCTTTAAATGACAAACATCCACAGTTAGAGGCTGAATGTTTTATCACAAACGTATCCAAACATTCAGACAAAAACTGATTCTGACACACAGCTTATGTAGCAAAACCGTTTTCAACATCCTCTGGGAGGTCAAGCTTCAAATTCTCATCAGGACCACAAAAGTCTCACCACCATGGCAACAAGAGGCTGCTCATGAGAGGTGGATTCAGGAGAAGAGATGAATAAAATTAATATCATTTATACAGATGTGAATGGAAAAAATAGGATTATTGGATAATTAAATGTGAAAATCTCACTGGTGTTTGTGGTTTTCATTTTGAGTGTAGAGCATCCTTACCTTGCTGCTACCATCACTGTGAGCATTATCGCAAATCTCTAAGGAGCTGAAACACAAACAATGCAGAGGTTTGGACACAGAAGAAACAAAAATAAAACGTTTCAGGAGCAGATCTGAGGTGAGATGTGTGGCTTAGCTACAGTTTAACTTAACATTGAAAACTGGACACATTAACAAATTTATGCACCTGTCTAATCTTGACTGAACAATTATTGCACCCTTTCTGTAAATCCTATGAACTTAGTTTCACTTTTTAAACATCATTGTGTGTGTCTCCTATTTTATATATTTAACTGAAATATTTTTTTACAGCCAATGATTTTTACATGAAACTCATGAAGATTAACAAGGCTGCCCAAAATTTCGCATCCCACTGTATCTGGAAACAAACAAACAAACAGGAAGTGGTGTTTGTACCACTGAAGGTTCCTGCAGGCTGACTGTGCCGCTACCGTCTGTAGCAAACTAATGAGCAGCGTGTGATGGCTGGAACAGCAGCAGGAGACAGCAGCATCCTCACTCTGTGGACATTTTTTTGAAGTCTGAACACAGCTCAGAAAAAATGTGATCTTAAAGATGAAGCTAGCAGAAGGATGGAGGGTGATGCTGATGCATGTATAAAATAAAGCCAAACAAACCTAAAGTGATGGAGTTATACTGACTGATTGTACTGAGTCAAGTCTAAAGCTCAGATGAAGGCATCTGCTCTGTGAAACAGTGTTGACTAAAGTCTTTGTGTTGCTGATGAAAATGCTGCTGTCTCCAGCTCATTTGATCTGGGCTCTTAAGCCTGTTCAGACTGAAATATAAATAGTTGGACAAGAAAAGGCTGATCTCCTCTTTGAGTCAGACTGACAGTTAAAGAACCCAGATCATGTCATGATGATGTAGATCAGAGTTAAATCACAGATCAGAGATTGTCCACGCTGCACAGGTGTGACCCCAACTCCTCTCCTTCTGTTACCAGAGAAAACATTAAATATGTACCAGTTTCATAGATTTTTACCAGAAGTCACACCTCCATAGTCTGTGCTGCACAACTACTATGGTACAAGTAGTTCTGCTTCTGATAAGGATGAGTGGAGAGGTCGTGAACCACCTGTTCAGCATGAATGTCTCTGATTATCCAGCAGCTCCAAACTGCGCCACCCAGTTTGTCCCAGGATTAGTCCCCAGTGATTGGCAGATTTGACTCACAGCAAGCTGGTCTTGGCTGAAAGCAGCTACGCTGTTCCGCATCTCATTCTCACTGCCACGCAGCGGTATCAGTGACACGTTACCGTGACGCGTGTCTGGCAACACGCGGCTCGCTCGAGTCTGCTGGCACACATCCTTAGACCACACCTTGCCGTTGTACTGAATGGAGGAGTCCACGGGGCCAAGTGGAGGCATCCAGATGGAGAGGAAGGAGACATGTTATCATGCTAAAACTGGCTCGGTACCACTAAGAGAAAATCTTAAAGCAAAAATCAAACCGCCCTGCTGAGGTTGTTCAGCGGTGATCACAATCAGCAACGCTACAGTCCTATAGACGCCTAGCTGCACCAGATTCATGAGTTTTAAACTGCTGCAAATGTGTGTGTGTGTGCGTGCGTGCGTGTGTGTGTGTGTGTGTGTGTGTGTGTGTGTGTGTGTGTGTGTGTGTGTGTGAAAGAAAACACACCTGGCAGCTCAGAAATGTAGAGTACCACTCCCTCATTTCTGACTCTGTTTCACAGCAGAGATACCTGCAGACAAATGGAGATGATGTGAGCCAGGCTATGCAACAAATTCAGGAAGAAGAGAGAGAGAGAGAGTGTGTGTGTGTGTGTGTGTGTGTAATCATGATACTTTGTGGAAACAAGAATGCTGATAAGCTTTTCAGACTCATTACCAACACAAAACAAAAAGACAAGAGAGTTAATCAAAGATAATACGTGGAACTGATGTCTGCTGTAGCACCTAGTGGTGGCGCCGCAGGAGTAAACATGGAATGTGAAGGCTGAAGCCAGGCCATGCACTAACACACATGTATTTCACGGGCATCCACTATTATTCTTCAATGGACGAAACAGTCTATTCTTCAGTCTTTCTCTGTTTTTTATCTAAAAGCACCATGTATTGCACCTTCAGTCGGTCTCAATGCTTGGTATTTACAATGCCAATAAGTCCCTCATAGAAAAACAATGAGAAATGGCTCAAGTTTTTGATGAACCTTGTGCTATTTGAGAGCTTAGTGTGTGAAAACGTCCTGACCTAGAAATGCCATTCAAAGTTTAAATGGCTTACAAGACATGGGGATCTAACATATTCCAGCAGCGTTTTGATGTTCGTTTGTTTTACATATAACTTGGGTTACCACAGAATATCTTAGCTTCCTCTGAGTTATTTGAGGCAGAACCCTGGGAGAACCGTAGGTCATAGCAGAATGTTGCATTGGCTGAAAGCTGACAAACATCCTTACATTTTAGGACATATGTAGAGGTCACTCTTTATAGCGTGACGACTACAAATTAATTACGAGCAATAAGATGTGATGATTCCATATAAATATGAAATATCAATCTGATTGATCTTTGAAGTTTAATCAGAAGATTATAGTTACTTTTACTTCTTCAGGGACCATAAACACACTTTGTATTAATTCAGACAGAGTCAAGTATATCGTTAAAAAGGAATTTTATTATTTTCTAAACTAATGATTATACATGACAAGGTATGAATAATGAGATGCGATGGAGTGGATATGCGGTGATGGAATGTGATGTGTGAGGTGGTGTGATGTCAGTTAGATGATTATCAGAATATTTGTATCTGAAAGAATTTGTGAAATCTGGGTGTAAATGAATTTGTTGTCTGCTATAAACTAGAGAGTTGATTATAAATAAAACAGCATCAGACACAACCTGTCTACAAACCCTGGTGGAGACCCCCAGCAGATCCGGACTGTCAGAAGTCGGGTGGACCTCACGGCACCGGGATTTTGTGGATTAAACTCTGATACGAGCCGTCCAGTCTTGAGATGTCTCCAGGTCACAGCTGGAGTGCTTGTTTGCGTCCAAAGTGGATGTGGCTCTTAGGGAGCCGTCCGGCTGTGTCAGCTTGCAGCGTGCAAACAGGTTTTTGACTGTATGTCAAAAGAAATGTCTCAAGGATGCTTGTTCCGAATTGACCGGTTCGGAACTCCGCTCGAAACTGAATTACTCGGGAAGTAATTCTTGTTTTATTAAACTACTTTGTTATGATTTCTGGCCAAGTTTGGCCAATCAGAATTTGACAAGTTTCTGGGTATTTACCAACATCCCTCAGAAAGCCACTCCCTCCTCAGATACAAACATGTTTGTAACACTGTGAATGAAAATGGTTTTAAACACTTATGTGGGGTCAACCTTAACCTTAATTTGTATCTTATGAAGATATGTATGAGTGTAGATAATGATTAACTTGTTAAATCAAACACATACTGATCATAAGATCTGCAATGGATCATTGTAAGAGCTATATTCATTTAAAGGTTATTGATTTAAGCACAGATTATTCAAACATTTCATTTAAACATCCTGTTCATTCATCATATGATTATTTAACTTATAAGTTGTAACGTCTTGAAGGATTCGTGTAGATTCACTTTTATTCTGAGTGAGAAATCCAGCAGTCTGGAAATGTAATAAAGTGTAGATATTAGATCACTTATCAGCAACTCACCACTGCTGTTTTTCTGGCTTGTCTTGTTTCTTGCTCTCATATATCACCATCAATCCCCAACTAAAAACAGAGCAAGATTAAAAAAATAAATATATAACAATAATACAATTATTTTATGACTGTCAAGAAAAATCTTGGTCTTTTTCTGCCCTCGGCGGTCATCTACAATACTTACAAGTTCCACTAAGTAAAAAGTTTGTGAAGACAAAAATAGTTTTCCAAATGTTGAAATGAAAAACGATACTTGAACACAAAATGATGACAGTGGGTCGTTTAAATGAGCCACTTGAGTTTTGTACGTTTGCTGACCTTGTGGGAGGACGGAGTTTCTTCTTGATTCCAAAGTAGATGGTCAGGTTGCTGACTGGCCATTCCCGTTCACAACGATTACTCTGACAGAGTCAAACAATACAGGCCTCAAAAACATTAAACAAAGCGACAGCCGTAAAACCATAAAGCTGATGGGGTTTCTTACCCTAACATCCTTGTACATTCTGAGTGAGGTGAAATTCAGAACAAAATATCGGTCGTGGAAATTTCCCGTGGGCAGCCCTAAGCCCAAGATGCTTCGCTCTTCTCTGAATTTCATTATCCCGTGTTTTGATGAATCCATTTTACTGGCTGAGGGAGAAAGGAAAGGTTTAAAAATGTTAAAAACATATTTTTTTAAAAACACAATGCAGTGTTAAACAGACGGGTTTTGTAAGTTTGTGTTTACCCAGGTAAACGAGCATTGAATCCATAGCTGGATGTTTCTTGATAAGCAGAAAGGATTCTGTCCCTATAGAGTGGAGGATGGGTAGGACACGCTCCTCATAATGCAGCGGTCGTTCTGAGAGGCAGGCAAGGACAAAGAAACGAAGAATGATGAAACAATTATTCCTTTGTGATTAGGAGGAATCCTAGCTAGTGAAATGCCAGCATATGTAAAGGCACCAGGATGTTTAAAGAAAGGTTAACGAGAAATCTAACAGATCAGCCGAGTTTACTGGCATCTGATGAGACAGTTTTCCCGGTGGACACGTAGGCTGTCCACATACCAAGCTCAAATACCAAAACCACAGCAAACAATCACTGATGAGATAGAGCCTTTCTGTCACACTGGCTGAATAGAGAGAATGTCACGACTTTGCTAGCTTAGCTATGAGATTTGTTTCTAGTAACTGTCAATCTGACACAGCTTTTAAAGTAGCATTTAATTAGAAGCCCCGCTTCTCCCCATACTGGTGGAAAGCGGAATTATAGCTGTCCTCCTGCAGCCTGCTGTTGCTCACACCGACTTTGCAGATAATATCATCAGACAAGGTGTTTGCATGTTTTAATAAATGTGTGATTGTTGGCAGTACTGAAACAAAGACAAATACTGTAAAACTGAACTTTGCTTGCTACTTTTTAGATGGTTGGAAACAGAATCCAACAAGTGTAGGTCGTGCTGATGTTCACTCTGGTTTTCACTCTCTTTGCGTCACCTCCAAAGACATTCCTCTCTTCCTTTTACTTCCAAGCTCCATCACGACAACAACAAAAAAGCTAACTTCTTCTGCTTCTTGCTCTTTTTATTGGCGGTCAGCAAACTGACAAAGCTGCTAGCTTTTATATGAGCTGCCAGCACAGTAAAGCCATAAAACAGGTACAGACCATCCACTAGTGCTTACCCGAACCGCTAGAGTTAAGTGCAGTTTCTGGTCAGCAGAGGACTACAGTTCAGTGTGAAGTTGCTCCTGTTTCTGGCTCAAGAAAATTTAAACCAGTTTGAAAGCAATAGCTCAAATGTTAAAAACTAGTGTTACTTTAATGATATGAAACTTTTCCGTCTCACAATCTGAATGTCAACCCCTTAGTTTGTGTTTTAAAGTGAAAAAGTCAGCGATAAGATAAATGGATATATTGTTATTGTATATAACTTTATTTTGAAGTGAGCTGTTGTGGCTCTTTGAAAAAACTACTAGGTGTGTGTGTGGTCGTGTGTGTGTGTGTGTGTGTGTGTGTGTGTGTGTGTGTGTGTGTGTGTGTGTGCGTGCGTGTGTGTGCGTGCGTGTGTGCTCCGTCTTCTCAATCCCCATTCAGTAGTGGTGGATGGCTGCTTGTACTGAGCCAGGATCCTCTGGAGGGTTCTTCCTGTTAAAAGGGAGTTTTTCTCTCCACTGTCACTGCATGCTTGCTTAGTATGAAGATTACTGTAAAGACACTGACGCTAGTCAGTGACTCGATCAATCTGCTGGGTTCCTATATAGGAAACATTTTACTGACTGTATTGGGATGTTTTATTTGTTTGGTGCCTTGAGACGACTCTCGTCGTGATTTGGCGCTATGTAAATAAACTGAACTTTAAAGGTATGAAGAGTTGTGCAACACATGCATAAAAAATATAACATAATGATGAAATTGGCCAACAGGAAGTGTATAAATGCAGAAAATAAGTTGTCCAGGAGCAGATCCCCAAGATACACCACAATTTAACTGATCAAAATGTTTTGTTGGAGGAATACACGTGTCTCCCTCTCTCTCACCCGTTTCCTCTTTGCTGCAGACCTCCCAGCAGCACCAGTAATCTTTTTCTGTAAACGAGATTTTGCGGAGGTCCAAAATCTCGTACGTCAGCTCTGCTGCTGTCATAGAACCAGGAACCTGACGAGAAACAGAAAGTTTAAAAGGAGGACTGCATTCTAACTTGATCAGTTATTGCAGGAATAAAGACATGAAAACAAGAATAAACTAGATGAAAGCAGAAAAAACACAATGTGTGATTTTGTAAAATTCCAATTACTTTGACACTCTGCTCAATGACAGTATCCTTTATTTCTTCCAGGTAAACGGTACAGATGAAGTGGCCATCCTGTTCAGTCCTTGGATGTGTCTGACACACATGCACGCACGCACACACACACACACACACGTAACAACATCAGCAACAATGCAGACAGATGGCCTTAAGCCGGGCGTACACTGTGAGACTTTTTCACTTTTTTGAGCCGATTTTCCACTCGTGCGAGAATCCACAAGATCGGGGCGAGTTTTGCGCCGAGCGTCGTGTAGTGTACAGGGGGTTACGAGAGGCGATTAACACCACGTGACCAGCTACCGATCAGCAATCGTGAGCTCGCACAGACTTCTGGCGTGTTTAATATTTTGCTCGTCCCTCGTGAGGGTATTGCACTGTTGAAGCGACGCTGCGACCAAAAAAGTATCAGAACCGCTCACGGCGCATGTGCAGTCCTGCATCAACACCGCTCACCCGCTGTTTCCCTAATAACACACGTTGTTCGTTTTTGTTTCTACACGTTTTTTTACTCACAAAGATTGTCAAGAAAGCGTGTTTGTCATGTTCATGTCAAATTAAACTGATCACAAAACACAGATTTACTTTCTTTATTTCGTTTTCCTCATCCAACCCCCATAAATCCCTGTGTGTCCTCCTGCAGCACTCCCAAAGGACAACAGGCAAAACAAGACAAAAAAGTCTGACATGTTGAGTAAAAACGGCTATTTTTAGCATATTTTTAGGGCCGACGTGTTGCTACCAGACGTACAGTGTGAGCAGTCAGGTTGCAACCGAGAACTGGGTCGTACAGTGTGAGCACATGACTCGTGAGATCTGCTCTGCGATGAAGTCGTACAGTTTGAGCTGAAGCTGAGTGCTACGAGTGAAAAAGTCGCACAGTGTCCGCCCAGCTTAAGACTAAATATATTTTAATTCAACAACATGAAAATAAAAATCTTCAGTCTGATGGTTTAAGAGAGCACGTTAACACTGAGGAATATAACTTAACAACCTTAGAAACCTTACTGTGATGTGGACATTCCAGAGAAAAGCAATTATTCTAAACAAGATTTGTTTTTTGTGGGGTGGGGGCGGGTGTTAGTGGGGGTTGTGTGTGTGTGTGTGTGTGTGTGTGTGTGTGTGTGTGTGTGTGTGTGTGTGTGTGTGTGTGTGTGTGTGTGTGTGTGTGTAGGGGGGGACTTACAGGAAACTTGTTGCCGCCAGTTTCTCTCAAACGTCTGATCTGATCAATCTCTTTCAGCTGCTTGTTTAGCTGCTGCTCATCCACCTAAAAACAATAATTCACACACAGATGAACATGAAGTAATCCACTGGCTCGTAAAGCTCAGTAAAATCAATGATCCTGATCAGTAGTTTATCTCCTCCTGTATACACCGTTTTCCATTTACTGACTTCATTACCAAAGAAAGCAGCTTTGAGTGTAAAAATGCTTCCGGTGTGATCCCAAATGATCCCGTTGTGTGAAGGACAGACCTCAAAGATGACTTTGTAGTGCTGTATGAGGTCTTCGATGGCACGGCCGGCCGTGTAGTCCTGCCCATCTGTTTGGAACAGAGTGGGACCAAACACTATGGCCAGGTTGTGGAGGTTCATCTGATTTTGCTCAGAGAAACACTGCACGCTGAAACACAAACCATGAAGATAACCACTCTGTGCACAAACACACACACACACACACACTACTCAATGAAGAAGTCCGTTGTGGTGTCCGCTACTCACCAGTACAGGTGGTTGATTAAAGTTTCTAGCGTGGCCTTGTTGACATGAGGAAGTTTGTCCAACAGGAGCTTGTACTGCTCAATTTTTTCATTTTCATCTTGAATGTCTGGAGTAAAGGATGGAGTGAAAACGAAGAGAAGATGAAATATTAAATAAAAGCCCAACTCTTTGTTAAATTCATGTTTGCTGACAGTTTGGGCCCCACTGTCGCCTGCATCCGGACATGGGCAGAGTGTCCCTTTACTGCCCACATGTAAGCAGCCGCAGCAGAAGGAACAACGATAACACCTGTGGATGCTCTGATGAAGGCGACATTAGAGATGAAACCAAAACTTTTGCTACACTCTTTAAATACATTAATACATGTAAAGCCCAACTGAAAGACATGAAGAATACTATGCTCATACCATGCTCACACTCAGATATCGATCCTGTCATTTTTGTGCTGTGTGCCTCTCACCTGTGGCATTGAGCCAGCTCTGGCTATCCTCGGATGTAAACAGTCCATCCTTTAACTCCCTGAAGAAGCGTTTGAGCGTATTGGAGACGTCATCCACCATATGCTCTCCTTCCTTCAGACGAAGACTGCGAGCATCTTGGCGGAATCTGTCACACAAGCCAGCCACACGGGAGTTCACACCACTTTTGCGATAAATTCCCTCTGATGTCATTCCTTGAAAAGAAAAACATCATGACTGACGCACACGGGGTTGAGTTGTGCAGAGGGGGCAGGCATACTAGGATGACTGAAACATCTCAGCAGACTCATTTTAATGTGGAGGAGCAGCGGCTCAGCTCCAAGCAGACACGTTTACAGATGTTTTAATCAACGGACATGTACAGAAGAGACACATTTTAACTTCCTTTAACAGTTTTGTTCATTTATTTTTCATCTATCTTACGGGATAACATCAACCACTGATGAGAAAGACTTTGGTTTTCATTTTGTGTAAACATATCTTCTGATGACATCAGAGTGACTCAGCTATGGCATCACTAACAGGTGAGATGAGGACAGTGGCGTGACTAACTGGAAGTAGAGTAAACAGAAAGGAGTGTGGCGGTGGTTTATCAGCTGATAAATGAGGCTTGAAGGAAAAAGGGAGAAATGAACAACAGAATCAAAATCTTTGTTTTGTTTGTTGATCTGTCCCACAGTCAGACCTCCTCTTCCAGTCACATGAGTGTGAGCTATCACAGCTGATCATACATCTCACTTCTGTCAAGTTGGTAAAATTTTGTCTGCATCCACCTCCAGATGCCTCTTACCGTACTGCAAGACGTAGTCGATGCAGCTTTGTACAATGATGGGGCTGTTCGTCTCTGTGAGCTGCTGCTCGCTCAGCATGTCTCCTCCACTCCTTCCTGCTGCTTGAATGGCCGCACACCAACCTGCAAAACCTAACTTCCTTTCTCCCTCGATGTACAGAGTTCTATAAAAGGTGGAGGAAACAAGAAATGACAGGAGAAAGGGAAACCAGTGAAAAGGTGCCCTTTTCCCCAAAAGCTGTCTAAGAGTTGACCTATACTCCATGTTTAGACAGATATTTTACATGCTACATAAAGCTGGCTCATTACAAACCCATAGATATGGTAATGACATAAAGACACAAATGTTTTTTGACACTTTAAACACTGAAAAAGATTAAAGCAGACATTAATTAGATGAAATCAGGTTGGTCAAAATGACCTATGTACTGAAAATCAGAACCAGTTACAGAATTACAGGAATACCAGAAGACTGTGGCAGCGTGTTAAGTCTGCGACCTGCTACAGCAGCATCCCACAGTCATGTGATGAAAATATTGCATTCCTGAATGATCTCAACAACTACTTTTGTCACTTTGAGGACCTTAAAAGCACGAGAACGGAAACATTAAATACCCCTGGGCCGGATGAGCAGGTGCTCTGTCTGAACCCAACTGACGTTTACAGGGACCTGAACAAAGAAAGGGAGCAGGTACAGGCTGCAGGGTTTCCCTTACATATGCATAGCCCCCACCACCACCACCACCACCAGTGTTGGGGAAACACTGGGCTGCGTATTCAAGGGTTGTGCAGACCAACTGAAACAGGTCCCAGCAGATATTACGCACTGGCCCGAATAAAGGCCGACCCCCATTATAAGACGACCGCCCTTTCCAAGACTAATCTTCAGGGAAAGACAAAAAATATATAAAATTAAATTAAATCACTTTTTAAATAAACTATTTTTATTCAAAATTTGAGACAAAATACTGAGCAAAAATCCAATTTTAATGCTAACTATCATAACTTTGCTGACATGTGAAATCAAAAGTCAAAAGAGGTTTTTATTCATATGCCATCTGCCTCTCTACTCACTCTCATGCCGCTGCGATGTGTACCATCAGATCGCTGCACCTGCCGGCTCTTCCCATTGAATGTCATACTCACTGCCATCCAATACATCCATACATGCAATGTTTGACACCTCTGCTGAATTGACCACCGTCATCTTATAAATTGCATAACTCAGCCTTATAGCTTGCTAACCTGCCCCACTTTCGATCCACTCTGCTCTGGACTTCCCGTCTCCAATTTTTCTCCTGTTGAGAACATACAGCCTGGCACCCTCTACTGTTACAAGCGTGTAATGCTTAGAGCCTGATTATAAAACCCCACATAAACAATTTTCTATGAAAAAAACCTTGTCTTATATTCAGGTCAATATGGTAGTTAACACCTCCCTATGTCGAGCTGTGATGCTAAAGTGCTACAAAACCTCTGCAATCACTTCAGTACCCAAGAAACCCACAGACATCTCTATCAGCGATTATCAACCTGCAGCACCAATACCAATAATAATAAAGATGTCTTTAGGATCACATAACCTCCATTCTACCGCCATCACTGGATCCACTACGGTCCATGAATCAACCAAAATGTTCGACTGAGGATGCTTTATCCAATAATTACATCTTGAAGTATGTGAAAGACACAACGGGGATGCGACTCATCAAGGATGGTGATGGCAGAGTACAAAGAGGAAGTGAATGTCACACACCGAGACAGTTCCTACCCTGTTACTGTCAGACCATTAAAAAGACACTCCATATAAGACTGTAGCAGTCCACATTCATCTCTGTGCATGTTCCTGCATGTTTCTGCTCAAATTAATGAGCTTGTTATACAGCTGAAAAAACTAACAGTCTATTCTGCTATTTTCGGTTTTGCTTTATTAGTATATACACAGAGAAACACCCGAAATAATTTTGAAAGATAACTTATTTCGGCTAATTAAATCACCGTAGTTTTGTAACAATTTCAGGCTGATTTCTCCATCTCACCTTCCCTTCTCCACCAGCACTAAAACACCATTGTCTTGTTGAATTGCTGTAGAAGAAATAAACAATAGAATTATTTATGTTCAAGTATTTACAAAAAAATTATTTGGTTTGTTTTTAATCATCTCACTCACAAAGTTCACTGACTTTGCGCAGGCAGATCTCCTCTCCTTTGCTATTCTCCAGGTAGACATGAAGAGTAGAACCTTCTAGAGCAAACCAGCCCACTTTAGATTGCTGTAGGTTCAAGCCATCTTTACACTTCAGCCTACCGATCCGCTCAAATCCCAGCCGCAGCAAAGGCTCAGCTGAGGTTGGAATAAAGCTCTAGAGAAGAGGACAGAGGTTTTGATGCCGACAGTAGGAGTACCATATCTCATTATTAGTGGAACACCATGCGTTCTACTTATGACCAAGTTCATTTGTTTTTTCAATATATTTGCAGAGGTCTTTAGTGTAAATGAATGCCTTGTGAGTGAATCTCTGAAAAGAAATAAGCCGTCACACTCATGTTTCATGAAGTAGAAGATAGCCAGATGGGAGGCGAGCAGCAGATGAATTTGTCTTATATTCTGATATTTGAACATCTCACTTCTGAACGTGACTCTACTACAGATGCTGTTTTCTTAGCAACATTGATGTTTTATCTCCACAAATAACACAAGCCATGTTGTGGTGTTGCTAAGTCTAATGATTAGCTTAGCCGAGGCATGCGCTGCGGTTTCCAGGACAATAAATAAACAACAGCCTTCCCCATCCTGAGCCAAGATGGGCGAGTCCATGAATGCTAATTTTCAGTGTGACATAGGTATGACTGGCTTTTCTAATCCAAGAGTTTCCCGGTCTATTTTCTATTGGTGGCTGATGCAGGAAATAGGGGTAGAAGACTAATTTGACGTTCAGCCTGCATGTGGAACTCAGAGTTGACGAATCATATTTCAATAAGTAAAAAAAAATAAATAAATAAATAAAAGGTTTCTCGTTAAAATTGGTCTTTAAACAAAAATCTCCATTTTTCATAGAGCTATTTTAAAATTATGTTTTAATTTCCCCCCTAAAATGCTATTTGTTCCAGAAGAGGCTGATACCTTTGCAATGGACTTGACCCACCCCTTGTGGCTCTCAGGGTCATCAGTGCCAAACAAATAAATCCGCTCCGACTCGGAGTACAGCTCAAAGGTGAAATCATACCTGGAAACAGATTAGAAGATGAAAAGATCTGTTATATAGCACCTTTCAAGAAAAAACACGAGGCGCATCACAAGGACAAAAAAATAAAAAAAATTAAAATTATTTTAAAATATCAAAAATATGGAAAAAGTTTTTTTTTTGTAATTTTAAAAAGGGGGAGGAAAGGGAAAGAATAAGATTAAAGAGTAAAGAGTGAAGAAAGACAAACAAAACAAATCCATCTTAAAGTATTTAGTTCTGGCTAAATGTTCTAGGAATCAACAGAAATCAAAGACAGTCACACGTGTAAAAACGAGGTGAGTTTCCATATGTGCGTACCCATGTTTCTGAGGTGTGTCAACGACCAAACAGACAATCTCTGAGGTCTTTAGCGTTCCGTTTGGGTTTGGGTTCTTGTCACTTTCATAGTAGCTGAAGGAGCCGTCATTCAACGAGCACCAACGCCGACTGAACTCTAAGGAGATGAACAAAAAGGAATTTATGATGCATCATATCAGGAGTGAAAACTGTAATTATTGTTTTTTTAACTCTGAATGGTTTACTTATTATGTAAGTTCACAAAACACACAGTTAATCAGGATTACTCGGTTTTGTCAAGGAGCAGTTTTCACACGTACCCTCTCTAGCCTTGCATTCTGTGACAGCTCGAGTTAGAGATGCTGTTTTGAACAGAAAGCCATTGTAAGATGCGCACGGAGATGGTTGGTAATGTTGCAGATCCATACCCCCCTCCACATGTAACATTGGCAGCTCTGCAGGAGGAAGAAAGCGGTCAAAACTATTAGCTCAACATTCCAGAAATGCCGTGGGTTTGTATTGTAGCTCAGAGACACCATTACTACTTCCTCTGAGACAAAACCAAAGACCGTAATGAAAAAAAGGAAACTAAAGCATTTTATGCAGTTATTTGGAAACAATCTGGGTCACATGGCCACAAAGAACAGAAGCTACAAGAATAATGATTTAAAATCCTAACATAAAGTATACAGGTGCTGGCCAGTAAATTAGAATATCATCAAAAGGTTGAAAATATTTCAGTAATTCCATTCAAAACGTGAAACTTGTACATTATATTCATGCAATGCACACAGACCAATGTATTTCCAATGTTCATTACATTTAAATTTGATATTCATAAGTGACAACTAATGAAAACTCCAAATTTGGTATCTCAAAAAATTAGAATATTCTGAAAAGGCTGAATATAGAAGACACCTGCTGCCACTCTAATCAGCTGATTTACTCAAAACACCTGCAAAGGCCTTTAAAAGGTCCCTCAGTCTTGTTTTGAAGGCACCACAATCATGGGGAAGACTTCTGACTTAACAGCTGTCCAAAAGACAATCATTGACACCTTGCACAAGGAGGGCAAGACACAAAAGGTGATTGCTAAAGAAGCTGGCTGTTCGCAGAGCTCTGTGTCCAAGCACATTAACAGACAGGCGAAGGGACGGAAAAAATGTGGTAGAAAAAAGTGTACAAGCTCTAGGGATAACCGCACCCTGCAGAGAATTGTGACGACAAACCCATTCAAAAATGTGGGGGAGATCCACAAAGAGTGGACTGCAGCTGGAGTCAGCGCTTCAAGAACCACCACGAGGAGACTCATGAAAGACATGGGATTCAGGTGTCGCATTCCGTGTGTCAAGCCACTCTTGAACAAGAAACAGCGCAAGAAGCGTCTCGCCTGGGCCAAGGACAAAAAGGACTGGACTGATGCTGAGTGGTCCAAAGTTATGTTTTCTGATGAAAGCAAGTTCTGCATTTCCTTTGGAAATCAAGGACCCAGAGTCTGGAGGAAGAGCGGAGAAGCACAGAATCCACGTTGCATGAGGTCCAGTGTAAAGTTTCCACCGTCAGTGATGGTGTGGGGTGCCATGTCATCTGCCGGTGTTGGCCCACTCTGTTTCCTGAGGTCCAGGGTCAATGCAGCCGTCTACCAGGAAGTTTTAGAGCACTTCATGCTTCCTGCTGCTGACCAACTTTATGGGGATGCAGACTTCACCTTTCAACAGGACTTGGCACCTGCACACAGTGCCAAAACCACCAGCACCTGGTTCAAGGACCATGGTATCCCTGTCCTTGATTGGCCAGCAAACTCGCCTGACCTTAACCCCATAGAAAATCTATGGGGTATTGTGAAGCGGAGGATGCAATACGCTAGACCCAACAATGCAGAGGAGCTGAAGACGACTATCAGAGCAGCCTGGGCTCTCATAACACCTGAGCAGTGCCACAGACTGATCGAGTCCATGCCACGCCGCATTACTGCAGTTATTGAGGCAAAAGGAGCCCCGACTAAGTATTGAGTGCTATACATGCACATTCTTTTCATGTTCATTCTTTTCAGTTGGCCAACATTAGAGAAACAAACATTTTTTCATTGGCCTTTAGAATATTCTAATTTTCTGAGATACCAGATTTGATGTTTTCATTGGTTGTCACCTATAAATATCAAAATTAAACGTAATAAACATCGGAAATACATTGGTCTGTGTGCATTGCATGAATATAATGTACAAGTTTCACGTTTTGAATGGAATTACTGAAATATTTTCAACCTTTTGATGATATTCTAATTTACTGGCCAGCACCTGTACTTGATTCTGAAAATACAATCAGGCATAAATAAGGTGAAAAAACAAACCTAATATAAGTACAAACATAAACAAAACCAGAAGTAGGTGTTGCTGTACCTGTGCTGAGGTTAAGTCTGATTAGCTCAGCCTGCAGAGGCTGTGAGTGTGCACTGGCCAGGGACTCAAGGGTGAGACAATCTGTCATACCAGTCGAACAATTCACATCTGCACCGCAGAAAATCAGCCTCAGCGTCTCCAGTAAATCACCACTCTGCACATTTATGCAAAGAGCCTGGAGAGAAGGAGACACGGGGGAAAACAAAGATGCGCATAGGTTAATACCTGCAACAGTCAGACGGAGGAATGTCAGCATGAGCAACAGCAGCTACCAGCATTTCCCTCCACTGCAAGTTAAGCAGTAACCTGAATTATTGCTGCAAATGTAAAATATTTCTAAGTTACAGCTGCATTTTTAGTACAATAAAAGAAAGATGTAAACTACATAATACTACATAACTACATAAATACACACCATAAGCTAAATATGTAGACTACCTTGATGAGTTCACTCAAAATTTACCAAAGTCCAGTTTTAGAAAACAAACTCTTAACTTGGTGAGACTGATATAACAGCAAGCAAATGAATAAACAGTTATTGTTGTAAAGGTTTTTAAGACCGATTCTATCAAGGTAAGAAACACCTGGCAGTGAAAAACTCCACATGACAGTTGTGCCACAGAGTTATATAAGCAGGAGCTAGGTTTAAACACTGCTTTATGTGATTAGGACTGATATATACTCACAGACATACATTAGGCACAAACTACAGTGCAAGTCTAACGTGTGAAAATGAGGATCCTAGTATTTTAAAACTTGTCTGTTATTAGATGTATTACTATAAAGATGTACATGTAATAAGATGGATGCCAGAGGAATATTTGTTATTACTGTATGAATCTCTTTTTTAGGTGCAATGATATGTGAATCACTGATCTAAAGATCAAAGGCAAATAAACAGGAATTTGCTGAAAACATCAACAAATGTTCCTGCAATAAACAACAGATCTATGTGTGCAACAACTGAATAATGTTCCAAGATTACAGCAATAATAAAGATAAATCAACAAAAAACCTTAAACATAAAGAAAGGAGGAAACACAAGTCAGAACAATGTTACACTGGAAAATTCAACGCGGAGTTCTTCAAGACAAGAGGAACTTAACTCTGATTCATACAAACACACACATCTGTCTAGTGTTAAAACCAATAAGCTCTTTTAGGTCCGTGAAATTCCAGAGCACTCTGTCAAACACAAACACACACACACACACACGCGCACACACTAAGAGACTGTACCCCTCCTCTGTTTAAGCTCCACTGAGCTCCGACACTTACATCCAGACAAACAAACCCATTAATACAGATTAAAATTGCTCAAGAAACCCCACTCCCACACACACACACATGCGTGCATGCGCACACACACACACACACACACACACACACACGCACACGCATGTATGGCGTGCACACACAGGCTCCTATTTGTTTGATTCATGAAGCTCTAAACCGAAAGCTGCCATCTACAGATGAACACACCTGTTTTTGGTCTGACATTCGGTGTCTTTATAGAACCTTCTGGATGTTTCAGTGGTTGATATTCTTTCTTTACTGAGCAGAGTTAAGTTTTTATTTGTTAATGAGGCTAATCACAGATGCAGTGCGTCACACGTTTTCTGGCTAAAGCTGCTTTAGAATCTGGACGTTAGATGTGTTCAGTTAAAGCTAATTAAACCCATTGGTAAACATGGATGACTGTATGAGAACAACAGCATTATTTACAACCCAGATCAATAGGTGCTGATCAATAAAGGGGCATCAGTATTTACTTTTTTTCACCAATCTGTGGCACAAATCTTTTGTTTTTAGTTCAGCCTTAATTACTCTTCTAATTTACCCAAAGCTTTGTGTTTTCATCAGAACCAGGTTTAAATACAGAATAACCTTTGCAATATGAACAAACACAGCTGACTCGTGAAGTTTATTCTAAAGTGGAAACAGTTTATTTTTGCGTGATGATCAAGGAAATGATGAACTGATATGTAACGATGATATGCACAAAACCAAAACAAACCATTTATCTTCAAAGGAAGGGATGCAGGAGGCCTCAGCAGCAACTGCTGCAACCTTCATTTTTCATTTGAATCACTCGAGAATCTGTGTACTTTATTAAAACAGTGCACGAGGCAAACTAACAGGAAAACCCCACATTTTCTCTTTGGGACCTCAAGCTGCTTGTTTTGATGACTGATTTTAGAGACTTTCTTGTCCGTGAAATGTTCATCAACTCTGCATCAGCTGAGGTATTCCTTAAATCTGAAGCAAATAAGCGGTAGTCTAACGCTATTGGTTAGTTCTGGTCGGTGCTCAGTTTCCTATTGAATGGAGCTCTGCCGGGCAGGGGGCGCGGTTAGCAAAAAAAAAAGACGTATTGCTGATATTATATCACAGTACATGATAAGATCATCCCTTTTACGGATTTTTGACAAATCATACATAATTTCTGAAAGAGGAAAACTCCGGAAAGCAGCTTTAAGGTGCATAAAACTCAACCCTTAATCTTTGCTGCTGTTATCCATCTTGCTACAGCCGTAACTGAAAACCTTTTAAATTGTATCCACAAGATTATTCATTTCATAAATAAAGCTTTGTTATTAACAAGTATTGATCAGTCAGATAAAATATCAGGTGATGACAAACTCCCACAGCTAAATGAAACCATCTAGATGTGCATGTGAAAGCAATCTATGTAGGTCCGTGTGCTGCAGGGAAAACTGAACCTGTTCCCCCTGACCGTGTTACGCCAACCAATCAGAACAAAGTACAATGAGGAAATGAGCTGTCCGACTGTTTAAAAGGCCTCGCCCTCCAACATCTGCTGCCTATGAAGAAAGAGTAGTGTAAAAACACGCAGAGGGAATGGAAGAGAGGGGAATACAAGAATCCAAACCAATTTCCCCAGAGACAAACGGAGAGGAAGATTTTATCTGGGTGTGTCTAAAAATCACAGCCCTCCATCTGCCCTTTGCAGCTACATGGGTCCGGTTTAAAAAAAAGAAAAGAAAGAGACGAGAGGAAGCAGAAGAAAGCAAATATTATGAAAAGAAGATGAAAGCATTTTAGCCAGGCACATTAATCGGAGACTGATTAAACTTGGCTGGAAACTGGACCTATACAAACACAAAGGCTCTGCTTTGTAGATTTTAGTATTTAATGCACGTTGTGCCAAAACTCCACCCGGACTGTCACATGAACATGTAGGATCACATATTAACTCCAGATGAGAAAAACACACACGTTTCAGCATGACATCACCAGAGCAGCCGTTTTACAGAACCAGATGGATTAAAATAGAGAAGAATGAAATAAGAATAAGAAAAGAGAAAAGAGAAAAGGGAAAAGGGGGTCAAATGCTGGGAAATAGACAAGGATGCATCTTGAGCTGAACTCAATACAGAAAAAAGGACTTATTGCCTAAAATCTCACTGTGTGAAAGAGGAAACGAGGGGGCTGAGCTGGAGGAAGCACAAAAACGAAGCTAAGCAACAGAAAACAACTTTTCTTGCATGAGTTACCTTACAAAACTCCCAAAGCATGAAAACAGACCCACGATCTCAGCAGCTATAATAAACAGCTCTATTCACTCCCGCTACACTTAGCTTGGAAAGAGGAATGTTGACATTTCAATAAGACTTTGGAAAGCATTAGACAACAGCTCACCATAGAGGAAGCTCCACTCATGAATGGCTGTCATTTGACTAAATGACTAACCAGTGTGTGTGTCCTCAAAGAAAAGAAAACCAGAATGGAGCCAACAGATATTTTATTTATTTATTTTTATTTTTTGGGTGGATTAGTCAAAAGCATTTAGGATTTTTTCATTGGAACACTAAAGTATGCTCTTAAAATATCATTTGTTTGGTTACTATTTTTTTATTCCAAACTTTTACAACAACTACATCAGTTGAACTGGTACTGGCATTATCCCATTACACAATAACATCCATGCAATACTCAGTATGTGCTCAATATTGTGCAATGCAGGATGTACATTAGTATGTCTGTGCTTATGCTGTATATTTCTGGAAACTCATGTTTCCTTTTATTCGTTGTTTTTAGTGGTTGAAAATTACAATGATAGCTCACTGCCTTTGTGTGTTTACCTGCAATCTTGTTACCATTTTTCTTCTTGCCTTTCCTTCCTTAAGTGTACGTGCTGCTGTAGCAAGTGAATTTTCCCACTGTGGGTTCAATCGTCTTTTCTATTCTATTCTATATGAGAAAATCCTGCTGAGCAGTTTTTCACAGTTTTAGCTTCTCTTCAAGGACTCTCATTGAAATCCAGAAGAACAAAACTTGTGAAAAAACATCTAATCTTTAAAATCCATTTGATCGTGACTGAGCCTTTCTTCAGATGTTCTGGTTTAATTCTTAACTCCTTAAAACTTGTACAGGTAAAAGATCAAAGCTTCAGTTTATCTTAAAATAAAAAACTTCTGTTTTTTGTCCCTACCTTCTCAGGATTCACGTGTCCCTGAAGCATCTCCTAAACGATTTCGGCTTCCAGATTCTCCTGACCATCCTGAGTGTTTACGTTGTAGCATTCATCTCCAACTCTGTGTTTTTATAATTTCATGCACTGATCACATCGTTTTTTTCTTTTTCATTGACGTACATCATTTCCAGCTCACATCCTCTGACTTGCTGAAGATGACTGGACGAACCAGCTTAACTTTAGTTTGTGTTTCTTCCGTTCCAAGAAATACATCTTTTTCTTTGGCTCCATGTCTCATCACCCAAACTGTAAACAAAAAGTCTTTCAGGAATCTGGTTCTGCTAGAGCTGTCTTCCTGTTAAATAGGCATTCCTTTCTTGATCAAAGAGTTCAAAGTTTTGTTTCCTCATTAGGCCTCGAGACAACTTTTATCTGTGATTTGATGCTGGGGAAAAAAGCGTACCCGGCTAAAGACCGATAACTGATTGTGGACTGATAAGGACAAAAATAGAAAAAGGCACAGATGCATGCCCACACACACATTAATATGTATGCTAACATACTCCAGCCTACTCCAATGAAGAACACACACAAAGACACTCAGCTCACACGCACATCAGCTGATACTAAACTGCAACATAAACACAAATGTGTTTGTGCAACTTCAACCTGATCTCACCTACAGAGCCAAAGTCCATTAACACACACACACACACACACGCACGCACACACGCACACACGCACGCACGCACACACACACACACACACACACACACACACACACACACACACACACTTACCTTCAGGTTTTCAGTTCCTGTCACACACTGCTCTGCTTAATGTCAACAGACTCAAACAGCCACACAAAGTTCTACTTTTCCTAAACTGCTTTAACTGAGGCTAAATGTTCTCAGGAAACTTACAAACAAGAGGAAAAGCACCCAGAAGTGAAGAGATCAGCTTTCTTCAGCAGTCACAGCCAAACAATGAATACAGGAGGAGGAGGAGCACAGGAGGAGGAGAGGCGGAGTTACAGCACATTCCTGTTAAATCAGCGAGTAATGATGTCACGTTCAGAAAAAGGGGGAAAAACAAACAAATGAGCAACGAGTAGAGAGGAATAAAAAGCCAGGAATAGATCAATAAACCTGATTTTATCTAATCACACTCAGATCCTCTAAAGAAACATGAACCTGTCAAAGTCTTATGGTGTAACACCAAAGTAGACAGAAACACAGCTTATGATTTCTTAAGACACACCCAAGCTGAACTAAAACACACGTCAAGCTGAAGAAATTGGAGAATTTTAAGACAAATCTGGTAGAGAAGTGATTAGAAAACCAGGAGAGCTGCTGCTGAAAGGAAAGGCAGCTGAAAGATTCAGTAGTAGAAAAAAAGGGAGTAGCAGCTAAAACTTCCCCAACCTCCCTCTGAGCATCCCAAACACTGACTCACACACACACACATTCATGCGGTTCAGTGAGGAGAAACAATAACTCACAGTCAAGTGTTAAATGTGACTCAGTGACACTCAGAGTCTGGAAGCTGCACACTTTGTTGCTGCAAGTGGGCTAAGAGGCTATTAGGTGACCAAGAAGGGAACAAAGACCTTTTTCTACCACACAACCTGGAGCTCCACAAAGCAACCTAAACACATCCAGGCCAAACCCAAAAATATGTCCCACAGCTGACTTTACAGCAGATAATCATTCCTCAAACTGACCCAGAGACAGAAGTGTTACAACACCTGGACTAAACTGCGACGTTTCCTATAAAGCCCACATCACACCAACTCCATAAATGCAACAATAACAAAGCAGCTTCAGACGATTTCATGCTTTTTAAGTATTGTTCTTTTAATTTCTTCAAAGCTAAAATCTTGTTTTCCATTTTAATCACAAGAACAACAAGACCTTGTCATGGTCTGAATGAGGAGGTGTGTGTACTAGGGAATCATGTGTAGCTATGTTCAAAAGCTGTAACACAGGTAAACATGTGACCCTTGAAACATTTGGCACTTCATTTAAAAGCAACAACTGAAACAATTCATTAGAAAAATCACTGAAATCTAAGGAGTAAAGGAGACGTATGTATTTTACTGTGACTCAAAATTGGGAAAAACTACAAGTCATTACAAATCTCATAGTCTATTTTTGTCGGCCTTATCTTTAGGCAAGCAGCTATTATTTACAGGGTAAAGGTTTGTCACTTCTCTGAGTCAGAGGAACAAAAATCCAACCTCCTCTCCACCGTTTCCTCCCACCTTTATTTTTTTTTGTGAAGCTTTTTGCCTTCAATCAATTCACAGCAACTTATCACCAGAGGGTACGTTCCACTTAATTCCAGGAAAAAGAGACAACATTAGTGTTTTGTTATTCCCAATAAAAAAATGTTAAAACGCATAATATTTGCAAACTAGGTCAATATTAGAGGCTGATAAACAATAACAATCAGTTAGGATTAGCATCTATGTTCTAATGGCTGATAAAGCACAGGACAGGTCCAAGATGGGTGGATTATTGGCCAGTATCCACACAGACAAACTGAAATGTAATTAATAACCATGTGTTTGGTTTTAATGACTTAAGTTTCTGTCAGACACAGAAAGCTATATCTCCTAAAATATCTTTCTTGCAAAAATATAAGAAAAGGAGTCAAGATCGAACTATGAAATCAGCTGCAAAGAAATGAGCTGTAAAGACGAGAGTGATCTGGTAAGGTTATTCTCTTGTGTGTGGGTCAAAGTGTATCACAGACCTCATTAAGTCCTTGAGAAAAGTACCAACATGTGCAAAAACCAAGATCTACATTGCAGTTCAATGTAATAAAGTCAAAGATGTGTTATATTAGAATATGAATCCACAATCTAAGTGTTCCTCTCTAAAATGTCCACACTGTGCATGAATTCACTCTTGCATAACAATAATGTGAAGTGGACAGAGCAGATGAGAACTAAAGCAGGTAGCTGAACTTACGTTGTTGAGCTCGTTCGGATTGCCGTACAGAGGATGGTATTTCCTGTATTTGCCCTGACGATATTTGCTGCTGATGAAGTGCTGTCGCTCTTCGTTGCTGCTTGAAGGTGTTAAAGCTTCACTTGGTGGAACATTAGCTGCCCAGAAACTGTTCACCCGGTTGTTCCCCAGCTTCAGGAATACCTGGGCCAAATTGTACGTTTTAACGTTAATGTGTTTTATTTAATTTTCCTCCATTTCATGTCAATCTCCATCAGGGTTTGTCGCAAATTTATAATACCAAAAGCAACATGTTCAGACTTTCTCCTCAACCACATTTTGTTTACCTGAATGAGCTCCTCTGTCCACACATTTTTGTCCATCTTCAGACTTCGTACTTTTGAGATACTTTGACCGAGTCCTCTGTGCTGTCCTGAAACACCCACACATAAAATAATCTAACATAGTTTGTAAGAACTAAAAAAGATAAACAAATTTATGTGAAATTCAGCAGAAACTAACGCATCACTTCTAATGCTCCCCCACAAACCTGCACAGGATTTGCAGATCACCACACACAAGTTGACAGATGCCCAATCCGGCTTGAGAGCGCCGCAGTCCGCACAAAAACTGTTGCTAGGCTCCTCCCAGATCTGCTTGACCACCTCGCTGTTGGACAGAGCCTCACTAATGGCCTCCCTCATGGCAGCCACCCATTGCTCTCTCACCTGCTCTGACTCTGCTATGAAACTGAGGGAATAAACAAGAGATAATGGTGACAAGACTGGCTCTCATAGTTGCTTGTGTGTGTGTGTGTGTGCGTGTGCGTGTGCGTGTGTGTGTGTGTGTGTGTGTGTGTGTGTGTGTGTGTGTGTGTGTGTGTGTGAGCATGTTCTGCCCTCCGCCAATAACACGGTCAGACCAAAACCAACCATCGAACCATCCGGTTGTCAATTTTGCAGTACTGCCATACTTCCCTGGGTCCTCGATTCATTACACACTCACACATTTTTCAACAGAACACCACTGGTGTGAGAGGTTCTATGCTCAATAATATCAGAGAAGGGGAAACAGTCGGCTGCTACCATTTCAACTTTAGGACAAACTACCAGAGTCCCAAAAAGAAATACATAATTTGACGTCATGGACAAAAAAAAAGATGTCTGGACCTAGAAAACAGCGACTGGTATTTGGTGCTCTCTTTTCTAGCAATGGGGTTTCTGGTTCTGGTAGTTGCAGAACCGGGGAAGATATCCGAGGGGAGGGGGGAATGTTCCATGACTGCATTTGCATTTAAAACCTAACTTGTTCTATAGATTTGTTACAGCAGCTTTAACTGGAGACTCTCTCCTGGTGACTGCTGGAGTTAGACACCAGCTCCCTGTGACCCTACTAGCTACGTGTACATGCGCCAAATTACCCCTATCCAATTCAAATCTTCTAATCTGTTTACACGGACACTAACGGAAAGGACCCAATCATGCCGTGAGTATACAAACACCAAGCACTCAATCAGGTTAAATAGGTTGAACATGCAGAGTTGTCTTTCCTGAAAAATAAATAGTAAACAAACGCCTTCTTGTCCAGACGTCTTTCCCTTGCATCTTATTTTCTTATTCTCTAGCTTTGTCCATTGACTTACATTATAGACCACTTCTGTTTACCTCCTGTCATGTTTTCAACTTGTCCTGAGGGTCTGCAAAAACGGAAAGACTGCATGCTGAAGTGGCACACATGCGCATTGGGCATTATTTTACTCCTACAATCCGAATGAGTGCGTACATGGGCGTCAATCGAAATGATGATCGAACAAAACCACCTCTCGCAATCTGAGTGAAATTTCTTTCCATTCGAGCTGTATTAGATATTAGATCCGAATATTCCGGTTGACATGTTTACGTGAAGAATTTTTGATCTGATTGGGCATTCATTCCAATTATTTGTGCCCATGTAAACGTAGCTACTGTGGATTAAGCTGTTAAGATGATGAGCGAGTGAAAGAGTTTCAGACCCAAAAAACAAAAAACAACAAAAATTAAACCTGCCTGTGTCATCTAAAAGATAAAAAGTCACATTTCAATGCTGTTCTTGTCTGAAGCACACACTGGGTTATGAGTATTCACAATTATTTGTAGCTAAACATGAAGGGCATGAAGTTTAGACTCTTGTGCAAATTCAGCACATAACAAAATATAAACAACACGCAACCTGGGATTTATACATTTATAGCACACACACACACACACACACTCCTCAAACATAAAAGCTTTTTCACAGTTCCCCATCCTGCCAGGCTGAGCTCTCACGCTGCAGTCTCACAGTCTCTCTCACAGTCTCTCTCTCTCTCTCTCTCTCACAGTCTCTCACTCACTCACTCACTCACTCACTCACTCACTCACTCACTCACTCACTCACTCACTCACTCACACACACACACAAAGCTTCTTGCATTCTTGACAAAAACCCAGTTGAGTACTATGTGGACAGATGAGGGCAGAATGCCGGCTAAACAGCCAATGATCTCATTTCTGTAAGAGACCTAGACTAACTGAGATTCTCTCTTACAGTAAAGAATTATTGCATCTAATGAACACAGTTTTGAAAAAATAAGAACCAGATACCTAAACAGTGGTATAGCTTGTAAAATATCAAGAAACCTAAAAGATCCTATTTTCAAAAGTCAAAATGTTGCAGCCTAGAAATTTTAAAACAATGCAGAGGGCCTACTTCAGAGAAAATATTTCTTTTGTCCCATTTCGGTTACTGCACAGGTTAAAAACGACTATCTGTTGTGGTTTTAGATATAAGTGACTTGTTCTAAGGTAACGAAAATACAACAATTTTTTTTCAAGTGACAATTTGTGTTAAACAAAAAACATCAGGTGATGGCAGGGCATCTGATTACTGCATTTTTCTACCAGAGTAAATTTAAATACCTGAAAACACGGTAAGGGGTGGTGAGATCAAAGCTCCGACGATCTGTTCCTTTGATGTTTCCAACATTCATGTCAATAGATGTGATCCCCACTCCAATACGATAATCCTGAAAGCAAAGAGAGCTGAAAATGACTGACACAAATATTATTTATTCATCCATGACTAACACTTCAGCTTAGTAAAAGAAGTGTGGAACATAGGGCTGGGCAATAAATCGCTAATTTATCGTTATCAAACTTTCTGGCTCTTATCGAGATAATTTTTCCCATGTCAATAAATTCGATAAAAAACATAAAGATGTATTGGCAACATTCATGTCCCTTTAAGAGGCTGTACCACCTTGAATCAAGTAAAAATGTGACTCAATGTGATACACGTGACAGCCCCATCTAGTGGACAACTTTTGTTTCTGTGCATACCTGTAGTTATCGTCCATTTATCGTTATCGAGGTGAAATCTTTAATACATTGTGATGTTTGGGCCATATTGCCCAGCCCTAGTGGAACACCAAGATTCTTCTTCTTCACAGTGTGTTGTGACATTATATCATAGGTGAAGTCTGCACACAGCTCTGAGTATTCTTACATCTATGTTTTTGTAGAGGAAAACTTTGTCTGAGGCAACAATTGTGTAAAGTTTGGAGCGCGGTCCTCTGAGCTCTAAATATCCCTGAAAATTGGGGTTGGAGATGGAATAAAGAGTCGCAATGCTTTGTCGCTGGCGCCCCCTGGTGCACTCTAGCAGTGTTGTCACCCAGTCATTTCTTTCACCTGCAAACAGAAATACATGTTTATATTTTTTATTGTGTGTGTGTGTGTGTGTGTGTGTGTGTGTGTGTGTGTGTGTGTGTGTGTGTGTGTGTGTGTGTGTGTGTGTGTGTGTGTGTGTGTGTGTGTGTGTGTGTGTGTGTGTGTGTGTGTGTGTCTAAATAGAACCTTCATTTTCAGCCTTGAAGGTGAAGGTCCGGTTGCTAGTGATGACCTCAAACTTCAGGTCTCCCACACTGCTCACGTTAGTGATGAAGGCTGTTGAGATGATCCCCTTGGAGTAAACATCCTACAACACAACTAAAGTTTTATAAAACAGCTCCACAGTCTGTCTAATGCTTAATGATGTAGAGTTTACTGTTACCTTGTCACTGTCAAAGTATCTGAGATAGTCATTGTCCAGCTTAACCCATCGTCTCTGGTAACGAACACTGTGCAACAAGATCAACACAACAAAACCAACATGTTTTCAAGGTGCAATATGTAAGAATAAAGTAAGAATCATATCCTGTGGTCACATTTGGTTCATGCAGTCCATTTTCCTAAGCAAAAAAAATCCCTCTCTCACTGCTGTTCCATAAGTTCATGTTGTTTCCAGTTATGTATCAGCACCAGAAGATTCTAGATAACAAGCAAAGATAGAAGTTTATAAATACATTGTCATATCTGGTGTTAAACTCTTGGGTGTTTTACGGAAGGCAGCACTTACTACACTTATGGTAACATTTCTCCAGCATTGGAGGAAGTGCGGTTGTTACCGTCTTGTTGTTATAGTCCTGAACGACTCATTAAAAGAAGTAAAACAATATCGAGTTGTTGGTAATTGAAAAAGTAGACCGAGATATTTTAGAGCCGACTATTTGCTTCTAATTCACCATTAGCATTGTTAGCTCAACATTAGACTCTAGCCTTCTTCATCCAATATTCACTAACCCCAACCCTAACCCTATAGAGTAAAACAAAAGGATGGCGTGGCTTCTAATGGGTACAAGAAATAACGTCTGAGTCGCTCCTGTTTGTTGGCTTCGTTTCTTTAAAAAGTCTGGAGCTTTTTGTTTGCCAATGTTGAATTACAAATGCTGGTGCTGCATAGTTAGTCGGAGACATGGCAACCTCACTAACTCACAGATTGTAAACAGTGACTATGACCCTCTTTATTATTTTTTTAAAGGAGAAAACTGGCAACCCTCCTGCCAGCTGAGATGGACTTCTGTTTCTATATAACCTTCCTCTAACATAATTGAGACATTATGCTGTTTTGTGATTATTTCACTGTAGAATTCTTACATTTTTAACATAAAACAGATGCAAGAAAGGTGACTTCTGTGCCGTATTTTAACCCAATTATTGTCATTCCAATTTTTAAAAAGTATAATGCATTTTAAGTCTATAAATATTTATTTATTCAAATTTATTTTTTACGGAACCCAAGCTTGTGTGTTTGCATGTGTGTGTGTGTGTGTTGTTAAATACCCCTGGGGAGGATTCTTTTCCAGCCATCCCATCTTGATGACAGTAGACAGCAGTGAGCTGTCTTCTTTGACGCCTCCAGACTCTCTACTAATGTGTGGCAGGTGGAAGCTGCCATTTGGGGAGCTGCAGAGCCCATCCTCCCAGGTTCTGGATTTTTGGATGCACAAAAAAAGCTATTTGTCACATACATGCTTTAAGAAGCATGTATACTGTATAAGTAACTTTAGTGTGAACTGCTGAGTGTCTGCTAAATCTTCTCATAAGTGAATGGGCTTGAACTAATAGAAGCCAGGCTAAACTGGCAAACAAAATATCTTGGTCACCATTTTGGCCATCTGTACAACACTCTCCTGCAACGTCCACCATGGGGGACCCAAGTGATCAGTATCTGGTTGTGTAGTATGATGCAGTTTTTACAAGTACGAGTATAAAGAAACATGCAGGGTATCGGGCCAATATCGTAACAAATTTTAGACTATGTACAAAAGCAGAGTGGGAAGAAAAAAAGATCAATTCACTGCTTCCAAAGGAATAAAAAAACATTAGTAAGTGCAAGCTCCTTTACAAAAGCAGAAGTTTCAACAGTAAATTTAGAGAAGCTATTGCTGCTACCCACCAGTGTCAGATGGGTTATAATGTAATTTATAAAGAATGTGGAGAAACTGTATTTGAGAAAAGGATTGCCATGCTTGTTAGACCTTGTTAACTAAAGACGTCCTTCACTCGTGTTTTAAATAAATTTGCAGTAGAAATTACTGCCTTGTGGGCTGCGCAGTGGCACAGTGGTTAGAGTTGTTGCCTTGCAGCAAGAAGGTCCTGGGTTCGCTTCCTGCTCTGCATGGAGTTTGCATGTTCTCCCTGTGCATGCGTGGGTTCTCTCCGGGTACTCCGGCTTCCCCCCACAGTCCAAAAACATGACTGTTAGGTTAATTGGTCTGTCCAAATTGTCCTTAGGTGTGTGTGTGTGTGTGCATGATTGTTTGTCCTGTGTGTCTCTGTGTTGCCCTGCGATGGGACTGGCTCTTTGTCCAGGGTGTACCCCACCTGATTGCCCATTGACCGCTGGACATAGGCACCAGCCCCCCCGCGACCCTACATGGACAAGCGGGTTCAGACAATGGAAATGGATGGATGGATGGATGGATGGATGAATGCCTTGTAAGCCGTACTCTGGTGAGCCTGTTTCAGCACAGAGAATTCAGCCAGAGGAGAAAGTAGCTTCAGACGGCAGGATTTGGACCTCTCGCCTCATATTGGTTAATAGCAACATGGCTCTACTTGCAACGTGGAGGTTTTATCTCCACAAACAGCACAAGCTTTAAGGAGTTCTGCCGTGTGGTGAAATTGCTAATGCTAATGGCTCTACTTGTCAAGATGATTCTCTGCTGTGTCCTGGATGCTAAACTAGCCTTCCCCGTCATGAGTCAAGATGGGTGAGTCCATGAATGTTAAGTAAAAGTGACGTAGGCATTTCTGCATCTATTTTCTATACAAATCTAAAGCAGGAAATAGGTGTAGGATGCAATATTCACATTCAGCCTGAATGTTAAACTCTGACTGATCATTTTCAAAAATAATAAATAGAAAAACATACCCATATCACTCTATAGACCTCAGTTACCTCATTAAATATGAAAGCTCCCATCTAACACTAGTAGAAAAAGCCTGAACAAGTATGTTTTTTGAAAGCGCAGCCCCAAGAAAAATACATATTCTTACAAAACACAAAAAGGCTTCATGGTTTCAACTGACATAAACAAACTGAAAGACTTAAAGAACAACCTTTAGAAAAATGAGTTGTAAGAGGAGATGTTTGGCCACAAAGTAAACTGAGCACAGCATATCAACAAAACCATCTCACACCAACAGTTGAGCAATGACGGGGGGGCTGGTGATCTCTTTTTGCAGCCATTGGAACTGGATAGCTTAAACCTATTCAATCCATTCTCACAGAGCTTGCTTTTTAAGATTAAACAAAAAACACAATATCCTCTGTTCCTCTTCAGTAACACACACATACTATAGAGCCATGGCTCAGTGCTGATACACAGCTAGCTGGCAGTGGGCAGAGTGATGTTCTGCTTGTTCCACATTTCAAATAAACACACCCATTCAACTCAAACGCCTTCATCAAACCAAAAGTCAATATCAGACACATCAGGAAAGACAGACAACAACAGATAAAAGTGCTGCAGGTGAAAATTACTTTTAATGTATTAATGATAATGGAGCTTTTTACTACCATCAAACAAACAGGGTGCAACTTTTATTTCTTCACAAGACATGGGTGCTTAAAAATGAACACAACAGGACTCACTCATAGTCATCCAACAGTCCATCGTCACTAAAAAGAGAATTGGAACGTGCTTTTCGTTGACCAGGCACTCTCAGGGTCATCTATCGGAAGACACAGACCGTCAGTCACATTACCCAGAAACACACAACATCACAACATCAAGTGTCTACGGCCACCTCATCTGCCATGGTCCTTTGATTAACACTGGCGAAAAACAAGTCTGAATCTTCGTAGTCATCAGAATTTTCATCGATTGAACTTGAATCTGTGAAAACAAAGGTTGTGTAAAGTAAGTAGTTAGTTTAACATTTTCATGAATGTCAGAAGTGACATTTCAGTTCTCAACAGGAAACAAACGATCACATTTTTAAACCAACCAAACTAAAACACACTGTGATCACAAATTCATCACCATTGTTTGGAAAACCTGAAATATTGCTACTCTAGCCAAGCAACTGAACAGGTTTCCAACATAGAAAAAAATCAAGGCATTTTAAAATATATTTGGCAGCAACAACTAGTTCTATTCTAGTCTTTTTACAAGTCATTCACTCTGTCTTATCACAGTGAGCACTATTCTAGGAAACGCTGAAATACCTGCTGGGTGCGAGATCTACCAAAACACACCAAATCTATTTGTATAGCACATTTAAAAACAGCGTGCCAGCTGGCCACCTTCATACACATAGCGTGCATGTTTAACAGTCATAGGAATAAAAACAGATAAAACATAAGCTCTAAAATCGTTAATAAAATGAAGATGCAGCATAAAAGAGTGCTCATCGGTCAAAAGCTTGATGAAAGAAATAGATCTTTAAGTTAGATTAGACCAATATGGATCTGTGATAGTTAATAACACTGCTACTGTCAGAGTCTTTTATTTTACTAACACTGTTAACATAACATGCAAACATATGGATGGTTAAAGATGTTAAAGATGGTTTTAACAAGATAAACAAAGCACTTCTTACCAGACTACTTTACCAAAAGTGTAATCCAGTCAAATAAGAAACACTGATGACTATTTATTTTACAAAAGGCATTAGGCTGCCATTAAACAAATAATGTGTCTCTTATTGAAAGTTTACTGACTATTTTGATATTTGCTATAATACAAAGTAGACAGACCAGTTCACAGATTTTAAATAGGCTCGGCTCTGTAATCTCTTTTGGCTTAAACTAAAATGTTCTCACGCTAAAACTGTGGGATGTCTTTATTTTGATTGGCTCCCAGTCAGTGAGGTTCGGTTATATATTTGCTTTGGGAAGCTGTTCAAGTCCCACCTACATTCAAACTCTGACAGAGAAAATATGAAGAGATAAAGAAGTGTAACAAAAAATGACAAACAACCTATACCTGGAGGGCTAATTCTGTTTCAAAAGGGGTTTTATGTTGGTATCTGACCTCAAGGACTAATATTAAATGAGTGTTTTATCCATTTAAAAAATGTGTTTCTGGGCACAAGTTAAAAATTGTTCCTCTTACCCACCGTAGACTGATTCCAGAATGATCTCTGTTTGGAGAAACAGAGCTGCTATTATCATGGGATTGGAGCTGCTTTATGACAGCAGCAACTCACTATGGTAAATGGTAAATGGTAAATGGCCTGTATTTGATATAGCGCCTTCTAGAGTCCTGGAACCCCCCAAGGTGCTTTACAACACAATCAGTCATTCATCCATTCACACACACATTCACACACTGGTGGGGATGAGCTACAATGTAGCCACAGCTGCCCTGGGGCGCACTGACAGAGGCGAGGCTGCCGAGCACTGGCGCCACCGGTCCCTCCGACCACCACCAGCAGGCAACGTGGGTTAAGTGTCTTGCCCAAGGACACAACGAAAGCGACAGACTGAGCGGGGCTCGAACCTGCAACCTTCCGATTACGGGGCGAGACATTGTTCCCATGTGCTTATTACAAGCAAATTTCCAAAACAAAGATAAACCCTGAGAGCATAAGATAAATGTCAAATGCAGTGCAGAGTTTTTACCTGACAACGGCACAACACTAGCTGCGTTTACATGAGCCAAATTTCCTCAATCCGATTGAAATCTTGGTTGATCGGAATTTCTGAATCTCTGTTCACATGGACACGAACTGAAATGATCCGATTATGCCGTGCGTACATATGCACCAAGCATTAATTCGATTAAATAGGTTGAGCATGCGCAGAGCTGCCTTTCCCGAAAGAAAAATTGTAAGCAAACGCCATGAAATGAAATGAAAAATGTAAAAACAGAAATAACTATTCTTCCCTGCTTTCCTGATCGATTTACTCAATTTAATATTTTTATTTAGCTCATAGAAGTTACGTTTTCTTCAGTTAATAACTGCAGCTATATGCTTTGCTGCATTTTATTGATTAAAATAAGGGAGGGTTATGTCTCTGCCTCTTGATCAGCTGGTCCGTGGGTCTGAAGTGACAGCTGTGCTGTTGCGCTGTGGCACAGAGCGGGGGTGGGGGATGGGGGTTAGACTCATGTTTTATTACTGAGCTCTGTTGTGGCTTATTATTAATAACATGTGACAATCAGCTGAAACTGTTGAGAAAAATCTGTTGAAACAAAATAACAGAAGATGTTCAGAAAGTTTAGAAGCCTGTGTTCATCATCTCAGCATCCCAGGTCATCTGCGTTAACGTGCTTTTAACACGGACTTTACTGTCGTCCAGATTATTTAACCGAGGACGTTTTCCTACCCAACATCCTCCAATCAGGTCTGTGAAACCCATATTATCCTGTGTTCTTTACAAGCGCGTCTCCATCACCTGCTGCAGAAGCTGCTGCGCTCATAGCTGACAGAAACGGGGATCCGTGCGCTGCAACCCCTGCAAAAAACCTGCGTATTTCCAGCACAGATTTGAACATGTTTGTCGAATGATTTGTGCAATAATCAGATTTTTATTTACTTCCACAAAATGCAAGTTCTAAATTAAATATTACTGAAACGGGGACGGCTTGTCGTCGGATTTAAAAGCCGCCACTCGTTAATTACGCCGTCATTTTTGAAGTCAGGCAGTCCAAATGACAGCGGAGAGGCCCGCCCGCTGTTGCACACATGCGCAGTGGGCATTATTTTACCCCAACAATCCGAATGGCTGTGTACATGCACGTCAATCGTAATGATGAACGGAATAAACCACCTCTCTCAATCGGATTGAAATTTCAATCCGATCGGGCCTAATCGGATCATAATATTCCGATTGACATGTTTACATGCAGAATTTTCGATCTGATTGGGCATTCAATCCAATTAAATATGTGCATGTAAATGTGGCTACTGATAGTTTTAGGCAGAAAATTTAAATTTTAACTAAAATCCACTAAAGTGCAAAACTATTGACTACACGTGCCTGCAGCACGATTAGACACGCATTTATACAGTTTATCAGAAGAATAAGTTGATTTGGGGGTGACTTGCTCTTTAAGTCACCAACTGTTTCCCAACATCAACCAGGAAATAGCAAAATAGCACAGATCAAAATAAATCCATCCAGTTTTACCGAACACGATGAAACTCACTTAATGTGTAAATGTGTTTTAAAGGTTTTTAAAGGTTGTCAGCTTGTTCTCTACTTTCTAGACAAGTATTCATCTGTGTCCCGTTTCATTTCTGTAATTATCAAAATGTGTAAACAGAAATGTAACTTTCACTTTGATGCTCCAGATATAAAGAAAATGCTCTTTATGTATGTAAGAGTCATGGTTTCTGCATAAATGTTCCTGAGTCTACTCACGTTGAGCCTGTAGGACCGTCCTTGGAACAGCTGGTTTTGTGTCCAGGTGGAATGACTGTCCGTGGTTTACTTGCACAGTCCTGCGAGGTCGGACCTGTGGAGTTTTCTGTTTCAACTCATCTGCTTCTGTCCTGGCTCCGGATGGGCTGAAGGACAAAGGCATACAGGACAGGTCAACAGAAGAGCGTACAGGAGAAGATGAGTCCTTGAACACCATGGTGGGCTCAGACCGAAATCCACGCAGAAAGCCGATTCTACGCATCCTCTGCTTTGATGTTTTCCTTTAGACACCGCCCCTCCCTTTAGTCAAAATGATTGCGACGACTGCATTTTAGAGGTGTCTTTGAGTAAGTTAGAAATAAATCTAGCACTGTAAACCTAACATAACTCCTGAACAACAAGAACAAAAGATCCCGACATACACCGTGACTCCACACTGCTGCTCTGGAGCAAAGGTGTTTTTAGTTGTAAACACACTCCTCCGAGAGAGAAACCTGTGTTCCTGCACTCGCTCTCGTCAGTCAGGTTTGTCTTCATTACTTTAGGTTTAAGCGGCAAGTTCAAACCTGCTTATGAAATAAGACAATGTATGTAAATAAAGTCAAATTCTGCATCGCCTGTCAAAACATACACAGGCGCACACGAAGGGACTAAATACCATACTCTTTGTGTCATGATTTCCAACTGTTTGCCTTAATGTCAAAGTTAGTTTGTTCAATTTGCTGCTAATTTTAGAAGGTGAGTGTAATAAGGTCATGCAAGCCAAACAGCAGTAGAAGCCTTTTTTAAAAAGTTGTTTTCTTATGAAATTTTTTAGCCAAACATTTCTCAAAGAACCGTTAGTTTTAATCAGATTGCTCAGCAGATTCTCTACTCAAATTTTTCACAAAAGTTTTAGTTTTAGTCTCTCCAGTCCTATTATCTGTGTCTGTGAATCTTCAAAATAAAATGTAAAAACACAAAACAGGTATAAAACAGATTTTCTATGAAAGATGTGCATGTTTACATTCACTACACTGTATGGTATGTCACTGCAGTGTGCTGTGGGAGCCAAACTAGTAAGTATGACAATAGTGTCATCAGCAAAGCACCATGAGGAAAATGGGAACCATGCATGTAGGGACAACTTGTTCAACTTTTCTGCATCCCACAAAATTACAGAGGGTGGAACCAAAAATCTAAAACAACCACAGATATCTATCCATTGACCTGGAGGTGAAGGAGTGAGCAGTTTGAAAATCTTGTGGGTGACGGTGGCAGAGGACCTATCCTAGGGAAGTCATATTGCCTCAGCTGTGGGGAAAGCCCAACGACACCTCTATAAGCAGTTTCCCATCTGGGCCAGCACGGACCCGCATGGGTGGTGTTGGTCCAGCTCCCGCACCAGTAGGGTTTGTTCACACACACTTCTCAGGAAAGAGAAAATGTCAGAGAACCTGGGCAGGGCAAAGGTCCATGGTCTCTTCCTTAAACAAAGGTGGCCGTGAGCGTGTGTGTGTGTGTGTGCTCCTCACAGCAGTAAGGGAGAGAGCTGCTGCAGCTTCAGTCAGAGGTGACTTTTACTTCTCAGCATCCAGAATGATAATTGTGCAAGCGGGAAGCCCCTACTGGTTGATTCTGTCAGTCACAGGCTCCTCCTAACAGTAGGTGTGTATTTGAGCCAGCAAATCAGTCATAGTGGGCATTATGGCCCGGGCCAGCCCTGAGCGGACCACCAGCGGATAAGGGCCAAAAAAGCGCATGGTAGGATAGGGTTATAGTACCAGGCCACCCAGGTATGAAAACAACATGCAATGTGGGCCGGGCCAAGCGGTGCCAAAAACCCCTATATATTCCCAAACCTCTGATGGTGCATTTTTACAACTGTAAACCTGTAATGGAGACCAGGGATTCCATTCATTATGATTTATGTTATGTTTCTGATTGAGTTACAGACAAAAGGTTTTGTTATTGAAGTTATTTATTTTGTGTTGGACATTTGTAACAGATTCTTTAGAATCAGAGGGACTGGCCACCCTTCCTGTGTAAAGAGGAAATGTTGGTTAAATGTCAATTTGTGTTTAAGTTAATCTCCAAAGTTTCACTCACCTTTCTGGTATTGTCTCCTCAGCAGGGCGGGGCAGCAAAGGTAAGTTTGTGTCCCAGGTGCTGCTTTTAAGCTGCTGGAGCATACCACTTAAATAAGGAGGGGTGATTCTTGGAGGAGTTATGTGAAACAGAGTTTCTTTTGTTTGATTGAACTTGGATTTATTTAGTATGATTTGTACTTATGTAAATAATGTTTGGTACCATTTATTATTTTGGTGGTTGGGTTCTGTAAATACATTATTTATTTGATTACCCCTCTTCTTGGTTTCTTCCAATCAGTCAGTTATAAAAGGCAGTGAGCGTTGGTGTAAGGTTGATGTCTGTGTTGGTGACAAAATATGTTGCAATAAAGCCACCTCAACCTGATTTATTTGTTTGCCTCTCCTTCAAACCACGTGCCGCCGCCGGTCAAAACTGACAAAACCCCATCTGTACAACTGTTAACTCGCACTGATGTCATAATGGCTAAATGGTTATATCATGCTATGCAATGTTGTTGCTCCAGAGATAATTTCATTGATTTTGTGACAATGACCATAAATCTCTGATTAATCAGAGGTACAGCAGCAATATTTAACATGAGGGAGGAGAAGGTGTTTTATTACATCAACATGAATCCTCTTCAAGTGACACCAAAATGATGTCATGAATTAAATGTTATAGTAGATTGCTTATTTTAATTAAATACATTCATTATTAAACAGACCCTGCAATTATTCATGTTTATTAAAACTTACATAGCAACACATTTGCTGCTTATTGATGAAAAGATTTGTCTTGGTGATCTTGCTTCTCGCAGCAACCCCAGTTAGGAATCTTGTGGGCCATTCCCATCTGTACCGGGTCGGCCTGGGCCGGGTAGCGTAGGTTGTTTACATATCTGGGTGGCCTGGCATTTTTCCGGGCCAACCAAGGCTCATTTTCAGCCCTCTTCTCGAGGGGGTCTGCTTCAGGCCGACCAGGGCCAACACACCCACTGCTGACAGCAAATTAACACCTTCCATTAGAGCAAGCCTCTGATTGGTGGGTAGAATCAGCCCACATGGGCTTAAGACAAGGATGTGTGGAATCAACCGGGCCAGGCTGGGGCCGACTGGGGCTAACCGGCCCGGGCCGACCCGGTACAGATGAGAATGGCCCATTGGTGTGACCTTTGGCCCAGCTCTCACCCTGGATTCTCATGTCAGTTCTCTTGTTCGCTCTTCCTTCTTCCATCCCAGGAACATTGCTAAGCTGAGTCCCATTCTGTCTCGCTCTGAACTTGAGACAGTTCTCCACACCTTCATCTCCTCATGCTTAGACTACTGTATCTCTCTTTTCACGTGTCTGAGCAGAACCTCCCTGAACCGTCTACAGGTGGTTCAGAATGCCTGTGCTCGGCTTCTGACCAAGTCCTCCAAACACACCCACATCACCCCGCTTCTCCTCCAGCTTCACTGGCTGCCAGTCAACTTCAGGGTTCATTTCAAGATCCTGGTTCTGGTCTATAGGGCCTTACATGGACAAGCACCATCTTACATTGGTGATCTTCTTAGTCCCTACACACCCAGCAGGTCCCTGAGGTCCAGTGATCAAAGCCTACTGGTTGTGCAGCACCAGGCTAAAGACCAAAGGTGACAGAGCATCTGCTGCTGTGGCCCCCAGACTCTGGAACTCTCTCCCTTTGAGCCTGAGATCAGTGGTCTCCTTTAAAAAGCAGCCAAAGACTCACCTGTTCAGGCTGCTTTGTGTGCCCTCCTGTTCATCCTCTTCTTCCTCACTAGTGTAACGTGAGGAAATATGGGTTTTCTGTCACAATGGTGGTGTTGGGCTCAGCTGTGTCAAAGCTGGGTCGCTGAGAACTTTCACCCACAGATTAAGACCTGAACGCCAGCGAGTCTGGGAGGAAACCATAACATCTGCCACCTGCAGTCTACCAGAAGATGTGTTTACATGAGTTGTACCCAGACCAAGTCAAAACATAAAGTTTAAACTTCTTTTTCTTGATTTTAATGTTAAAGTAACCATTATCATTTTGCTCATTATAAATGTGATTAATCAAATGAATGACTATTTAGCTTTGGGGTAATTATAATGGTTTAATGAATCCATTCTTAAATAATGTTGAGAATGTTTGTTACTGACCTTCACACACACTCAAGCACAAACATTCACACACATCCACACACACCTGCTCACAGTAAACTCCAGACACATTTGATGACGCACGTTTGCTTTGAGAAGAGAAAGGTTTTTGGTAAGTTTTCAGTCTTATGATTCAGTTCATGTTGGGCCACGAGAGAGAGAGGACTTGTGAACAACCGCTAACGGGGAACGGAGCCCATGGGCTCAATCCCCCCCCCCCCTTCTCTCACGCTGTTTCTGCCACGCCAGGCAGAATAGCTGAATCGCAACTTCTAACGCAGACTCACTACCGAGTCTTTTGATTTCTGAGTGAATTAACTTAAGAAAGCGCGTCGACAAAACGCTTTACCATCAACGTGTACCGAGGACAACTCTGGACCGGGTCGCAGCGCATCTTTGTCTTCTCTGCCAGCCAAGGTGTCCTGGATGAAACATCCTAAGGTGACGCCCCGGATCCGAAAGAGGGTCCAAAAGAATTCGGTGAGACAGAACACGGTGTTTAGCGTTTTGATGCATCTTTTCCACTAAACCTAAGTTTATTCAAACCATCACTTTTCACTCAGACACCTGGTTCTTCCTGAAGCAAAATCAGATGCACTCACGCATACATCTCATCTCATATCACTCTCACAATCACAACATTCTCAATCTTCATAAATTCACCAGAAGGTCTATTTGAGCAAGAACAGCATATAAACTGTTAAAAGATTGTCCCACAAAGTTACTAATGTTGATTGTATTTCCTGTTTGTCAATTTCAAAATCATTAGTTTAATTTGAAGAATTAAAACTTTTAAACGTCAAACTGGTTTCCTCATTGAACTGAAACACAGACACTCAGATATTATCGGCAGTTTATGGATGAAAACAACCTTTGAGTCTTCTGAACAATATAAAATTTGGTGATTGATTTATTAAAATTAATATTCCGAATTAATACGTAGCATGGTTTCTCTTTCATAAAAGAGCATAAATTCATAACGCTACACTAGCTTCTTTTCATGATAAATGACCCACACTTCTATAGTGCCTTTCAGAATGAGAGGACACCAAAGCGCTTATCCTGAGCCGTGGAATCGAACCTTCCAATTACTAGACAACCCGCTCTACCTCCTGAGCTACTGCTGCCCCATAATGGTGTTTCTATCAATTATGTTCCAATCAATTATGTATTTATTCCAATTTTTAATATTATCTTCTTCAATTATTTTTTATATTTTGATTGTTCTTGTGAAGCAACTTGTGATTTTTATCTTGAGAGGCGCACTACGAAGATATCCTTCATACTCTCCTAACACTCCATGTTCTGTTTCCAGTGTCACTCATGCATGCAAATGGTCACAGATGATTAAAAATCCCTAAACTGTGAGATCAGTTGATTTGCACAATCATTCTATTTAGATGCTAGTGGGAAAGTCATGAGTTTCTGAGTGTATCCAGCATTGTGAAAGTTCCTCTTTATTACTGTGTGAATTTCCTTCTTACAACGCTAACAATATTTTTTAACACTTTACAGTTAAGTGATGAGAAAATGTTCCATAACATCAGAATCCTTTTAAACCGATGTTAAAAGATTTAAAACAGAACAGAGCAGGTTTAGTGTTTCCCAGTAGTTGTAATGTTCCAATATTACATGACACAGGAAAACCAACCTCTCAGACCCACTACCTAAATAATACAGCCAGATTTTTCTGTGAGCTAATTCTATTTGTACATGCAGGGAGGTTCCAGCACAAGGCAGACATTTACGTATACCCCAGTTATTTTAGCTTTAAGCTCTACAATCTAAACATGCAAGCTGTTCTATTCAGAATTAAACCATGAAACGACTCAAATCCGACAATGACGGGAAACTGCCCAAAGTTTCCCCTTTTTCTCAGAGGAAGAGTGCTGAGAGGGGTTAGCTGGTTATATTTACCTATTCTAAACAACAATGACGGTAAACTAAAGAGACAATGACTGTCCGCTCTGTAAATGCTTTTCAGACACATCAAAATAATCAAGTAACAAACCCTGAAACACTCTTTCAAAATGGTGCTGACCAGCATTTTAAATCAGCAAGTGTGTTGCTTTGTGACCTTTGGTGTTGAACACAAGCTAAATGCAGTCCTTTGAGTGACACCAGATCAAACCGCTAGTAGCTCTACTCTTCCATACCTTGTCTGAAACTAGAGTTTAGAGCTGCTGTGTACAGATTTAAAGCATTTAAAGTAAAAATGTATTTACTTTTTAGCCTTGTTTAGCTTAAAAGTAAACCAGAACCAGATTGAAAAATCCACAAGATGCTAATAATATCAGCAGTTCAATTAACACGTAAAGTCCTGCTCCAGAACAGGACAGGAAACAGCAGTGTCACCAAGTAAAACCCTGAATCTCCATAGCCAGTCAAGGTAAAACTAACTCAAGGGAATACTACGCAAGTCTGTTTCTCAGCTATTTTCTGAAATTGGTGTAGCAACAGCCACAACACAGCACAGCAAGAAAGGTCAGTGTTGTGAACACAAACCCAAAAACAGTGAGACGGGGGAGGAAAAGAACTAAACTCCATGCTAATGGTAAAGACAGAACAGAGACCTTCAGGAAGATGATGTGTATAAACGCTACCTGTCACAACATGTTCAGATGAAGTCCTCTTCCATGATGACACAAACTTAAATACACACACACATTCACGCACACATCAAACAGTAGGAGGAAATGACTCAAGACCCAGAAAAAGGGAGGAGGCTAAAAGGCACAATGAAAAGGAAACAAGAAAAGTGGTCAGAAAGAGTGCGTGAATGTGCTCGGATTGAAGCTACAATAAGCTCTAGGGTGGTTCCTGACAGCAATGTGCTATTGTCGAGTTATAATGCTCACTCTGCCTTTAAGTGAGAACCCACAACAGCTAACGAGGAGAGGTTTGCCTGATGTGTGTTGTTCTGCATAGTGACTTCCTCATGCTCTCTAAAACTAGTTTCCCTGTTAGACACAGAGAACCTGAACTTGTACAAGAAGTGCCCCACAGCCCAGGGCTAGGCACAGGTTTCCCCTTACCGGTGAGGTGACAAAACAGAAAGCATGCAGAAACAAGAGAGTTCCAATGTAGTGTGTGCAATCTCCACAAACTGTTTCACAGTTAAACAAGCATGAGCTAACTGAAAAAGCTGCATTTCCCCCCATAAGAGCAGTGTTATTTTTCTGTTAGTTAAACACACACAATGCACTATACTAAAAATTAATCACATGAGTTGCAACTTTCTCAGTGCAAGTATTTTAACTGTCAAAGGAGAGAGGAGGTATCCAGTAAGCTGTACATTTATTTTGGGTGCAGCAGCACAAACAGTAAAAGCAAATGTGTACTTTCAGCAAGTCCTGCTCACATTTATTTAAAACTAGCCAGTGAGCTTTGAGCCAACACACTAATTCAGTAAGCTTGACTCTTTCAATAACAGGAAGTGTCCATTTTTACTTTCAGGAAGTGTTTCAATTTGTTCAGTAACATTTTAGACTGTCTCAACTTAGACTGGTCAACAGAAGATGTGCTTCCCACTTCAACCAGCAGAGGACAGTGCAGATCAATGATAGAGCAAAGACATCTCCAAATTTATTTTATTCATCAAATATCTCCGCCTGACTATTGGCTGACAATGTTGAAGTGAGTACCGACCAACCTTCCCCTGGGAATAAAAGAACAAAGGACAGAGGGTCTGCCCGGACCACAACTAACGACGGTGCGGACCCAGCAGATCCAGATTCAACCCTAACCCTTCAATCATTTCCATTTTCTTTGTCATCACTTGTAAATCGGAAAACAGGCTTGAGTCATTCTGTAGTTTCACAACAGTAATGTCAGTAAAAAATGTAGTCTTTCCCCTAAATCCACAAACACAGTCATCATTTATTGTACTTGTGCGCAGTTCTATAAATACCAACAACACTTTCACCTTAGTTCTGTTTTCAATTAATGCTTGAACACACGTGTTTGAGAAAACATAATCTAAGGCTAACAGTGACAGTAACAGAGTGCTACATTGGCCATATCCTCACCTGAGATTTCTAGAAGGCGGCACATGATTTCGCTGTGGTAGAGGTGGTGGGGCTTTACTTCCTATTCCCACTTTGGGAGGAATCGGTGGGATATGCTTTTCTTCAACAGGAGATTTTACCGGGATGATGGGAGAGGCTTTTTTGACTTCATCACTGCTTTGCGGCTGTGTCGGTGGATAAATGGCTAATGTTTGTGGCCTTCTTTGGGTAGGGTTGATGTTAGTAGAGGAGAAGGCTGACTCTGTTGCGGAAGGGGTGCTGGTACAGGTGGAACAAGGAGATGAAGATCTGCATGGTAAAGGTGGGAGTAAGATAGTGTGCTCTGCTCTTGTGGAACCAGAGTGCTGTGTGGGCAGTGAGGGGCTTTGGGAGGAGGTGAAGCACAGGGGTGGGCAGTTGTGGGTGACTCGTGGGGGAACAGGCGGTAAGGAGGAATCAGATGATGGAAATACAGAAGGGCAATCGACCGATGTACCAGCACGAAACTTAGTCCTCTGTCTTGCTACAGGCTTGTCTTTTTCTTTGTCCACTCCAAAAATCCTGTTCTCCTCTTTTCGCTCAGACGGGGTTAAGTGTCGTTTTCCAGGAACAGGCTTTGGGTCTCCTCCTTTGGTACTTTTCCCTTGCTTTGTGGACACATGTCTTTCCTTTGGGACTGGTTTACCTTTTTCCCTGGGAGTAGGTATCCTTGTTTTTCCATCTTTTGTTCCTGCATCCAGTTTTTCTGCCAGAGAAACAGGGCTCTCTTTATGAATGACCTCAGTGTGACCTTTCTGCTCCAGTGTCTCATTGTGGTTACCATCCATCCTGCTGAGACTGGAAAGGATGCGTTTCTGGTGACCTGGAGGGGTGATGCCAATCCGGTCCAGCTGATCTGGCGTGAGGTTCAGACACTGCATGAGCGTTTCCAGCCCTGCGCTCTGAAACGCCTCGGTGTACTGCTCTAAATGAAGCACAAACAACCAGTCCGACACATTTGTACTGGGTTCAGAGTGAGACATGGTGGATTTGTAGGCGAGTGAAGCATATGTGAGCATCAACATGCCATGAGTTCACTTCCACAGGGAGAAGGTAAACTGTAGGATCTCTCAGGTCATGGCAGGCCCGTCTATGGACAAAACAAAACATATTGTATTGATTTAACAAAGTAACTGGAATAATGAACACATTTTAAAATATGGAAAATATTTTAAACAATGAAGGTATGCTTAATAAGGTAGACAGAGCAAATATCAGGGAGTGTGCGCACGTCTGGTAAGTGAATGACACAACAGAGAGGATTCACATTTGTCATCAAAGAAAGCAACACTCAACAGAGACAAAACTACACAAGATGTTCTCTACCCGTCTCCTCTTTCTGTCCTCTGGCTCATGTTTCAAACAAATCAAAAGATCAGCATCTTCCATGACAGGGCAGATCTGAGTGTGTAGATAAGAAACAACACAGCTGCAAAGGCTGAACTGCAGGACATTTCCAACTGTGAGATGTGACATGAGAGGAAAAAATGTTGATAAAAGATTCTATAAGGAGCCTAAGTCAAGAATGAAAAAATGAATACAAGTCAACGGGGCTAAAACTCGATTTTCTAGTTCCGCTTGTTATGTGCCATGGATTTCACATATGATGTCCGAGAATTTTAAAGAAGCTATTTGATACCAAAAACTCACTTATTTTCTAATGGGGGGAAACGCTATTTTAGGTTTTGTGTGAAAATAAGTTCAGTACTATAAACGCGCTTCACAAAAGTTACATCATCAAACCAGACAGAGTAAACAGAGGGAAAATGGCTGTAAGTTTAGCAAACTTCACATCCTTCCCACAGGAGGAAAGAACCACCATAAATCTGGCCATTTGGCAAGTAGCAGCTACACAAGGGGAGAGGAGATTATGTGGTGACGTTACATATGCAACGTGCCAATGGAGTCATGCTAATTACGAACTTTTACAAGCTGATAAATCTCAAAGTACGTGACTGGCGTGGTCGAAACACCCATTATTACTTTTCATTTAAATTGCAGTACAACATATGTGCGATCCAGGCCGTAAGGCAAAGCAGGTTAGAAAATAGCTCTTTTAGCCACATTGACTTGCATTCATTTTTTCGTTCTTAAGAGGACCCATGAGTCAACTGGAAAGGGAGGAGACTTAGGCTCCCTATACAATAAAGCTTCAATTCTCTTTTGTCCCTTCACACTGGACCAATGATGCTGCTGGAATAGAGACCCACAGACAGCACGGTGCTAATGGCTAATGCTTGTACACCTCTTATTTCTGCTATCACTTAAAAAAGGAGGAAAATTGTTGCCTTGAAACAAAATGACAAAAGGCACAACAATTTATATTTTTGACATAAAGGGCCCGAGCAGTTCAGTTCAATTCCATTCAATTCGAGTTTATTCATATAGCGCCAAAAAAATAAAAATAAAAAGGAACAATCTGAGTTTATTTTGACAATTTTAATTTGGTTTTAGTCTTAGTCTTTTGACTGAAATTATTTTTAATTTTAGTCATGATTTAGTCATCCAATTTGTTTAAATTTTTGCCTTATTTTAGTCGACTAAAACATACTTCTGATGCAATAATTTTCTACTTCTGTTAAGGACATGTTAGCTACACCTACTTGAAACTGAAGAAATAAAAAATTTCACATTTCACACTTATGGTTATTAATAAAAACTCTAAATTTGTTATTATTTTTATAACAATAACAATGGAAAACATAATGAACACTGGCCATTTGAAATTTTGTCACTTAGTAATAATAAAGTTAAAAAAACTGTAACCCTTGTATTTATAATCATGACAGAAAATGACATACCATCAAAACATTAAAAGGTGTTACTCTAATTGAAATAAGTTGGTAAAGTAAATGTAAGAAACTTTTTCAAGTGTATTTATTAGTTTTCCCTGCACAAATTTACCAAGGTAAGCTGCCTGAATGTTTTTCTTGACCATCTGAATGTTTCTTTCCCTCAAAATAAATACAGCTAGAACACCGAAAGACGATAACACCGGCTGCAGCAGCAGCCGATATCAGCTTTATCCTACCAATAAGCACCTTGACACCACCCAGGCTATTTTCATGAATGTTTTTGCAAGGCACTGTAATGAATAAAATTAAGTGCTACATTTAATTTGCTTGTGTTTAACTTTCATGGAGCCAAATCTGCTTCTGATTCCTTAAAATGTTGCTTATTGCAAGTGTAAAAAATAAAGGGTAGTTCAAAAGTTTTTAACACTATAAATGTTTGTCAACCTTATGTCATATCGCTCCAATACTATATACCTTGCACTGGCTCCCAGTTCAATACAGTTCTGCTCACCTCTCATCAGTCAAAGAGCTTTACGCTGCTCGGATCAGCATGTACTGCTGGTCCCATGACCAAGGTTCAACCAGTGCGGGGATTGAGCTTTCGCAGTTGCAGGACCAATGCTCTGGAAGGGTCTGCCACAAGAAATGCACTTCATCAGGGATCTCAATTTGTTTAAGGCCAAACTGAAACACCACTTGTTTAGACAGAGGGAAAAAACATCAC